GTGGAGACATCCACATTAATATAAAAAGATGTAGAAAAGTGTCTGTTCAAGATAACTTTCATTTTGTGATTAGATATGAAAGATTGGATCAAATCAACAATTAATCCAGAAATACCATAACCTTTCAATTTGTAAAGAAGACCAGCATGCCAAACCCTGTAAAACATCTTTGAGATATCTAATGCTACAGCCTGAGCTTCACCATTCTTATCTAAAGCTCGACAGACTCTTTCAGCAATAACTTAACATATCAGCAGTTGACCTAGAGAAGAAAAAGCCATATTTGTCTGAAAGCAGATACTGCAAGGTGAGATACTCAACAAATTCAGAGTTGATTAGAGCCTCTACAACTTTGCCAAAAAGTTAAAAGAAAAATAATTTGAGAGAAGGATCAGATGGTTTTCCCAAGTTCTTAAAAACAGAAACTACATAAGAGAATTTCCAAAAAGCAGGAAAGCAAAAAGCAGCATGGCATTTATTGTAGAGTGGAAAGTCAAGCAAAGATATTCTAGATCAGTCAAAACAAATTAGAAATGGAAAAGAATTTATAAGCAAAGAATTCTGCTTTATCAGCAAAAAATGTTAGCACCTAAAATTGAGTGAAGAGAGGAAGGATAGAGGACTAATCCTTATTTAAGACATTACTACAGAGACACCAATAGTCATGAGAATCAAATGTGTTAGAGGTTATACAGTGCCTCATTTTATCAACAAAGAAAAACTGAGTCTCATTTAGGACACATTTACAATTATGCATGGGCACAAAGAGGTGTCTGTTGTGATCAGAACTATCAGGTTGGTAAAGTCAGAAAAAATATGATTCCTATGGTCTATAGTGGCTGAGCAGGCAGTTGTGAACCAAGGAGATTTCACTTGATATTTTTAAGAAAACACAAAAGCATCAATGCCAACTTTTAACTTTTAATCAAGAAGAAAGCTCAGTGGCAAAATTCTCAATAGGAAGGTTAAAAATTTCACTCCGAGAGGAGTGTTAACCCAGCATTATAATTTTAATCAAAATCTTGAAAACACTTGTGGTGATCTACCATAAAATAGCCCCATTGAAGAATACAACAATAGTTACCCAGACATTATTGTTAGGAGGAAGGGACTCATTGTAAGACCTATTATCAAGAACTCTACTCTATTATCCTGTTTTCTGCAGTTTGGGCCTTGAGGTCCCTGCAAATGCAAACAAAACCCTTTGAACAATGTTGAATGTTGCCTTTGCTGCCCAATAACAGTTCAAGCTCCAGTGTCCCAAAAATGTAGGTCCGCCACTGCCAGTGATAATAACAATAATAGTAGGAAACAGATACATTGGTAATTATATGTAACTGGTAACACACATTTTGATTTTTATTGAAAAGAAATAGTATAATGTTAAAAAGTGCACAAAATAGAAATAGAAACAATACTTTTCTTTTTAAAACAACAAAGTCATTATTTTTCCTTAGCAATATTTTAATGAGCAAACTCTGGCCCTCTTTAAGAGATACAGAGTGGAATTAGATTTCATATGCACTTATTCAAAAAGAGATTTTTTCAACATTAATAATGAAAAAAAAAAAAGAAAAAAGGGAAAGGTACTCCTAGAAAGATGATGGCAACTAACATTGTATCCAAAATGTGTTTACAACTTGAAATTGTACAAAATAATAATTGTTCATTTATCATATTTCAATTTGAATTGTTATTTATTTTTTGATTGTCAGAAGATGATTTTGTTTTATTAAATTAGATGTCACAAGAAGAATTTATCTCTGACATATAACATTTTAGATACAATAGGTTAAACAAGGAGTTTAGATTTTTACATTATATAACAAACAAAATCAAGTATATTTTAGAAAAAAGCATGCCAAACATTAAAGAAAAAGATAGAACCAAAAGCAAATATCATATTAATAATAATAACAATGAGAAATAATCATCAGAATTGTAAAGTGCATTAACATGAAAACATTTGCAAGTTGTTTTTTTTCTGAACAACAGAAAATATATTATTTTTCATTGAATCATTTCAGTGGTATACTGATTTTCATTTTAAAGAAAGAAAAATGAAAAATATAAATAAAGAGAATGAATAAATTTCCATGCAATCAAATGTCGATACAAAGAACACAGAGAATGACAGACATCTACCAATGCCAACATAGGCACAGAGAGAGAGAGAGAGTGAGAGAGAATTAAATATGCATTATAGTATGTATGATAGAAAAGCATAAAAATGGAAGATGAGATTCAATGATAAACTTTCCAAACAAATACAAATGTAATTCTGATATGAAAGGGATTTTTCTTTTTTGAAAAATATTTTTATAAAATAATAAATTTGGTTTTGATTTAACTTTTACTTTAAAAATACATAAAATTAAACTATTCTGCCAAGAATCAACCATTAATTTGATGTAAATATTTTTGAGACCAACAACTTCATACCAGTTTGTAAATTGTCTTTTTAAAATCTTAATTTTGATTCTGTCTTGAAGTCCATCATATTGTCCTTATGATAATATTTCAATCATATCTGTTATGATTAATTTCATGATCAAATTGGAACAGACAAATTGTTTATCATTTTTATCCTTGCAATATTTCAATCTGTCCTAGTGAAAAAGTGATGTTTCCTATGAAAATATTTATCATATTGACTAATGTCAAATATAGAACATTTCAAATTGAATACAGATTAGGAAACATTCTTCTTTCTTGAATATTTTTTCTCAAGACTCAAATTTTATCATTCAAGTTGTTGACCAAATTAGATTTTTATGTTCTAAACATTTCAAGGAAATCCTATTCAGTTGCAGTTATTGATTTTATTTTTTAGCATTGTATTAATCTCATTTTGTTTGTTTTTATAAAATCATTCTTAATCTTCAACATCAGATGGTTGCATACAACTTTGACAAACATCTGCATTGTTATAGTTTTAATTCCAAGTGTATTGAAAAAATCTTTAACATTTTTACATTTGCCCCTTTCTTTTAGTAATTATTGAACTACTTTTGCTTCAGTTGAATGTTAGTAACACATGAATTGCATAAAACATTCATGTAAATATATGAAGTCAATTTTTATGTATTTTTCTCTTGGGTAAATACAGTTATTTTCTCTTATTAATATCTCTTATTAAACTGTCATGTAAATTTTTTATTCATATACACTGCAAGTATAATGAAATATTAAAAAATTAAAAGTCCATATAAACAAAGTAGAGAACACAGAATCATTTATCACCATTTTCTCAATAATTCTCATAATTAAACTGACTGATTGTTGAATTTCTTTTTCAAGCAGTCACAGATTTTTAAATTTATCAGTTGATGATACACAAACTTGTCCAGTGATATCAATTATTTTAAATACTGTTTGGACAACTGGAATGTTAATGACTACTCAAAGTTATAAAAAAAATAATATTTTTTAGCCAAGATTAAACTATTCTTCATACAAGACATTATATAAAAGCAGGGTGGGGTGGATTTAGTTCTGACAAACCATATCCAACACCATAAGGAATCCTTAAGTCTAAAGGAGAGATTATAATATGACAGTAATCAATTCTTTTAAAATAAAAATATTTGACTGAGTATTTAATGGCATGTAAGAATACCCCATTTAGATTTAATATTACAACATTAAAGGCTAGTTCCAAGTAGTAGTAGCCCATGAAATCTGGGTAAATATTAGCCTACCAACTGTAAATTCATAGATAAAAATTTGGAGATATTTTATGAGCTATTTCTTGGTGTGTGTGTGTGTGGGGGAGGGAGAGAAGACAGACTTATGTACCCCCCAAATAAGACATATAATAAGAGGATATTTGGAGTTTTGAAAGAATTACCATCTTTGATGGTTTACAAGACAGGAATTATTTATATTGATTATCAAAGTAATATGAAGTTAGGCAAGGACCAGGTATGTGTAGTCTATAGTATCTGGTGTGACATTAACTGATCAGATACATCAACTGTAAGATCTCATGAAAAAAAAAAAAAAAAAAAAAAAAAAAATGGTAGGGAATCATCTTACAAACCATCAAATACAGTACTTTGTACATTAATGGACATTTTATTTTGACTTGACAACTAACAAATTAGGGGTGATATCTTGCCTTATTCATTTGTATTTGTTTTGGGAATTTGTTTTTAACAATTTAAAAGCATTTTATTGTTATTACAAAATGTATTATCAGGCTTAAACATGCTGATATTCAGATCAGCTTGGAATTTAGTTATAAACTTGTTATAATTTGATAGAAACATTTACAAAATGTATTTGAAAAAGCAATTTAAGGAGAAAAAAAGTTAAATTGTTAGGAAAATTAAAAATGAAAAAAAATGCTTGTTGGGAAATGGCCCTCAGATGAGAATCCATTGAATGGAAATAAAGATACTTTCCTATCTAACATAACCAACATGTGACAGATAAGCAGCAGCAAGAAGAGCAACAGGTGGCAAATACATGAGGGAAGACAGAAACACACCTTGATATATGTGAATATATACACATACATATGCACATATAGGTAAAAGAAATAAATATCAGACATGCACATATTCATTCATGTAGACATATTTAGGCATATATGAATGAATATACACACAATCTAGAAAAGCACACACACACAAATACCTGTATAGATGTATGCATATATGTTCATGTATCCAGGTATGTATGTGTATATAATATATACATGCATTTACGATTGCATGTATACAGCCAAACCAGTTAGTAATCTATCTGTGTGTGAGTGTATGTGTGTGTATGTGTATATATAAACACACATATACACACTTATATATATATATATAAAAGACACAAGTGACTAAACAAACACGCACAAGAGATAGATAAAGATAGATATAAAATATTTGAGGAGATATCCAGACAGAATCATTGTTGGAGGCCTGGTTGACTGGATCAGCTGCCCTGTTAGTCAGTCAACCTGAATGTGGAGTGAGAGTACATTCAGGGACCATGGACTAACTAACCTGTGCAGAGGAGAAGGCTGGTTGACTGGACAGCTGGCTTGACAACTGGGCTATTGGCTGGATCTGGAAGCCACGACTAGCCAAATTATCCTGTAGATAAAATGTCATGGTAACTAGTAATGTAAGTAGTAACAACACACAATCAGAAATTCTACCTAATTACCTTTCACCATTACAACAGGCAGCCACATGTACTAGGACAAACCAGTGGCAGAAGAAAATGGCACACTGACTAGACAGATCAGTTTGAATTAAAAAAAAAAAAAAAAATAATAATGATGATATGGACCTAAACACTACACATAAATTCACATTACAGATAAGTTGGTTTGTGAGAGAGAAGTTTTACCATGTGGCTAACAAGAATAATGAACATGGAAAAAAAAAAAGAGCGAGAGAGAGAGAAAGTATGATTAACCGACAGTTACAAGCAATTAAATATTTCTTAAAATCAGTTGTAGAAGAGATTTATTAAGTAGTCTAAATTTTAAGTTAAAAGGTATAAAACAGTAAATATGTATACACAGTAAATACTTTGTTATACATTGAAATAGGTATATCTGCAAATATAGAGATTGTATATTCTTTATTTTTATATGGTAATACACACAAATATAACAGTAATTGTACTCTTGCTAAACCTCAATTATTTAAAAAAAAAAAAAATACAGGTTCCTATCACCTAAAGAGATGTTTAAGTAACTCTGTAGACACTGAATGATTCTTGGGATATATTAATAAATAAAGAATATGATTTTAGGATTTCAAGAAACTGCTTCATGCAAAGAGAGTTATCTAGAATTTTCTTTTTTTATTCCAAATATGTAGTCTATTTATATAATTAACTATTGTCACTTGTATGAATTCTGCTTTCAAATCATCAAAAGTAGGAATATTCAAACACAAAGGAAAGAAATAAAAAACAAAAGCAATGTATAAGCCACCTATTCTTGCTACTTATTAACGATACATTTCGTCATTATGGTAACATGTTCATTTATCAGTGTTGAGTAATGTCTCCTGTCACCATAACAATGAAACAACTCATTAATAAGTAGGGTAAGTCAGGCTGCATTAATGATAAATATATAGTTGTATTGTGTTATATATTAGAGAATAAATTATCAATTCATCTCCCATTCTCAAACAAAAGTACATATTTTAATTATTAGACAAGTCATTTTATGTCCTAACAATGGCAGAGAATATTGCATGATGGTGAGTCAGTAACTTTTTTTTGAATTAGGAAGAAAGATTCTTTAAATTAATGTTTCAGTTTTACGGGAGGGAAACATCAGTCCTATTTTGTGTGGGTAATGTGAGAGAATCACCAACTCAACTGATATAGATTGTTGCAGATTTGTTGATCCAGATTAACTTTCTAGTCTGTCTTAATTTTTTGGTTTTAAATCAAAAACTTACACTTGCTGTACCTACAAACTTCTCCCTCTAGTATCTGCTGTCATATTTTAGGATCTGTGGACATATGAATTCCCCTGAACTTCCATGTCGTAAAATTAAGTTTAAAAAAAAAACAAAAAACAAAGTAAAATAACATTAATAAAAAGGACTAATGAAAGAATCAACATGGACATATGTTATAATGAATACCAACTACCTTAGCTGTGGTTTGAACCTTGTGCTCTAGTTAACTATTCCCCAACTCCAACTCAGTAGAATATAACAGGCAGCAAGAGATTTGTCAAACCTGCTAATGTAAATTGACTGCACCATTGGGTTCAATCTATACCCCAATAACTTCTACTTAATCAGTTCTTTTTATCTGTATGGGGAGGTTGTACCAATTGTAGCATCTATTCCTGTTATACTTACCTACAACTGATTGATAGTACACTGTTAATTGCAAATTTTTCTGTTTTGGTGAATTGGGTCCATAATTTCACATAAAATTTCCAATCATCATGAGATGTTTCAATCTTCCATGTTGGTGGGGTTGGAAAGTTGTCCTTCCTTTCATCAGTCAAAACAACATACTGTTACCAGTTTCAGATAAGGATAACAGGTATAAAAGCACAACACACACACATTCTGATGAGTAGGAGTTATTGTAAGGCTTAATGAGTTAAATGTTCATTTTATGGAGGAAAATGTCATTTTTGTGCAATTTGGCTAAAATACTGAAATAGTAATAACTCATAACTTATGTATTTCAATCTTTATTGTATACAACAGAGGTTTAACTTTTAGATCAAAATTTAGTTAACTCGAAACAAATTTCTCATTTTCAATTGTCATAAATCAGAGAGCAATTTCATAGAATTATCCCATCTTTTGCCTTAACTTATATATTCTGATATTTTCAACACTTTTCAAATTTGATTAAGTTTTTAGAGCTAATTTTGTTTATCATTTTTATATGACAACAAGAAGTTACTTTTCATGAAATACTAACTTAAACTGTCACAACTCTTAAAAATTATGTTGCACTCCTTTCCCAAGCTAGCAAAACCTTTTAAGCCATATAATAACATTTACAAACAGAAAATTTCTATTTCCCCATGTTTACTTTGAAGAGAATTGACCAAACATTTGATTAAGAGTCAACAGTATTAAAAAACAAAGTCCCAAATGGTATAAATCCATCAGACTAAGAGAAGACAGCTTCATTAAAAGACAAGAAACAAAGTAAATTCAGAAAGGTATCCTTAAAGGATCCAGTGAAAAATATTATCCTGATTATGTCTTCGGCTGTCAAATGAAATTGGAGGTATGATCTCAACTGAAGGGATTTCATGGCTAAAGTGACATGAAATAAACTTAAATGTTGTAAAAATACTAGGATGTTCATTTGTTAGGAATTGCATGTAACTGTCCAGAGAATATCCTGATAGGAAATGTTGTCTCTCATCAGGACAATATTCCTTACCATTCTTCATTGCTTTTCTCTTTCCAAAGATTGTCTTAACTTTTTTTAAAACTGTAAATACTTAAATTGACCCACAATTTTCACATGCTTACAGTCAAGAGTCACATGAATGTGCCCACAATTGGCTAGCACTGTATTTCAATACACATCGATAACTTCTGTCACATGATTAACTAGAGGCACCAGAAATCTACAAATTTGTAAAAGTTGTAGATTTCAAAAAAAAAAAAAAATCCTATAACCAATAATACCAAGGAGGCTAAATTTGATAATATTTAAGAATGAAATCAATTTGCTTTCATCTAAAATCAACTTGTAATATTTGATTTTCAATGGTTTGTTAGATATATTAATTTAATTGTACTAATATCACATTTACATTTTTGAAGAATTAAGTCAGAACTCCAGAGATTTAACAATTGAAATCTTTTAAGAGCTGAAATGTTAATGGAAATGTTTTCTATCAGGACAATGTTCCTTGGTGTTATGAAATCATATTCAAGCCTGGTTAGTGAGGAAGTTAACTGAGAATAAATGGCATTTTATGAACTCAAAACTAATAGTTAAAATGTTTTCTAATAAAAATGCTATCAAAGAACAGTGAGATTTTCTATCTGTTCATTTATTGCAGAAGCTGAATGATTTGATGATCATCATTGAATCATTCAGCTTCTCCAAAAGAATGAACAGGTAGAAAATCCCACTGTTGTTTAAACTGATGCATAAAGATATGACAAATACAAAAACATCTCACAGGCTTTTCTAAAGAAATAAAAATGAATGTAACCGCAGAGAACTAAACACAATGAGTGTTACCGCAGAGGGATAAACACAATGAGCGTTACCGCAGAGGGATAAACACAATGAGCGTTACCGCAGAGGGATAAGCACAATGAGCATTACCGCAGAGGGATAAACACAATGAGCGTTACCGCAGAGGGCTAAACACAATGAATGTTACCGCAGAGGGCTAAACCCAATGAGTGTTACGACAGAAGGCTAAACCCAATGAATGTTACTGCAGAGGGCTAAACCCAATGAGTGTTACCACAGAGGGCTAAACCCAATGAGTGTTACGACAGAGGGCTAAACCCAATGAATGTTACCGCAGAGGGCTAAACCCAATGAGTGTTACCACAGAGGGCTAAACCCAGTGAGTGTTACGACAGAGGGCTAAACCCAATGAATGTTACCACAGAGGGCTAAACCCAATGAATGTTACCACAGAGGGCTAAACCCAATGAATGTTACCACAGAGGGTTAATGATAAGCACACAAAATGAAAACTAGACTCAGTCATGAATTATGTAATGATTAACTAAATTTACATTGAGTTGTTGATTATTAATTTCTACTTATTAATATAAAAGTATAGTTTTACAATTAATACACAGTATCTTTTTTGTGCCTCAAGTATATGACAAATGATAATTCGTTCGATATACTCAGAAAATTTCTCAAGAAATGAAAACTGGAGACTCTAATCCAAGTCATAGAAACTAAAAGATAAATTTGAAAAGGCATCAAATTTTGGTAACAGATCTGGGTAGTCTTCTAGCGATCTCATTGGTATTGATTTCTTTCTATAGCTTCTGAAAAATTCTTGTCTATTGTATTAGTGTCAGATTAGAATGTCTTGTTTGCTTGCTTATTAATTATGGTGAAAGGCATTGGTGTAAAATTGCTTATGAAATAAATCTAGATTCATTAATTCATATTCTTCATGCTTTCAAAGTGACTTATTATATTTTATGTATCTTCGTGAAGCTTAACTGAATCTACTTGAAAAGTGCTTTCAGTTTTCCTTTCTATAGCAACAACTGTTGATGTCATACTTGTACAAAAAACACATCAAAGTCAAGAAGTTATGAGACTATAAATAAATTTAAAGGATAAATATGTACCTTTAAGCATTGTTGAAACAGTGGCTTAAAATTGTTGTTCTGAAGAAACAATAGAGCTTAATTGATGTGCATAGATTAAAAATAATTTTGACAAAGATGACTAAGAAGTGAAGGAAATTTCTTCTCTTCCTAGATTTTTCACAACTGCATTCTCCTTGCTCAGTTATAAATTTATCAACTTATTGGAAGATATATCAGAATTCTTTCTCAACTATCTTAAGATTTTCAAAATAAAGCCACAGTACTTTATTATGGTATATCTTAGTAACAATAAAGTAGGAAGAAGAATTCTGTTGATAAATACATTTTCCTTGCAATAGGGAATATAATTTTTCATTGCCCTTACTGGTTTCATTTAATCACTCAAAATTTTTTGGTTTAATTTTCTGAGCGCATTCAACAAATTCCATTCAGCAACAAAGAATTAGAAGAAGAAACAATAGTCACTTACTAGATAGTATATTAAAACAGGAATATGCATATTATTTATTTATTCTGCACTTATTTTCATTAAATAATTTACAGATTTTTGTTTGCTAATAGGTTACAATAAGTCTAATGAAACTTTGACATTTTTCTCTATAAGGAAATAACTTTTTGTAATATTTGATAATCCTCAATTTATTCATCAGAAAGCTCTGTAAATATATTTTAAATGTCAAAAAGAAAAAAAATAAGCCAGGATTATTAAATAACATTTTGACCTATTAGTATCTCTATAAATCCTACAACATAAGGCAAGTTTTCTTGTAAACTGATATTTTCTTCTGATGTAAACAAATATGGATAGAACATAGGTGATAAAAGTCTTATTAAAAATATGACATTCTTAGATATTTTTTTAATCTACAGTCAGTCCCAAAGTATGAATTCATTCTGTGATCTGATAAAGATGAATGGACAGTACAGTGTATGAAAAAATTGCTATTGGCTGTTGGAAGATTTAAACATACTAAAGAGCTTTCCCCAATGAGTAATAAAAAACAACTTTTTCATATAATTAATACTTTAAATCTAGGAGATGAAGAGAAGAAAAAGAGATGATATATAGTCTAATAAGATTTATACAAGGGATCTAGATAACTTAATGTCCATTAAAGCAATTTATTGACTGATGAAGAGGTTACCATTATGCTCTGATAATATAATTCTAGACTATTTAGCAAGTTATATAATCAGATGTTGACATTTAAGGAAATATAGTGGTAAGGATGTCAGTTGCCACAACATGATTTAAATATACTTATTTTACAGTAAAATGACGAAAAGACAAGTTATAAACACAATTCCCCTTAAAAATAATATATTAGTTAAAAAACAATACAAGTCAATGAATTCTATGAAATGAAGATAATAGTTTATAAGACAATCTTATGATAAATGTTATGATAATAATGAAAAAAAAGAAAAGGAAAACTGAAAAGAAGATATCATCATGTCAGACAGGGAACATGGCATTGTTGTTTTTTCTCTTTCAAATGAATCATTCCAAGAAATAAAATCAATGAATGATATAAAGTAAGGATCTGATTGGCATGATATCATCAAACAAGGATCAAATTCTTGGATCAATGTTGACCTGTCCAATTTATATAGTATCCTTGTCATAATAATATATGCATGTAGCATTAAACTTAGAGCAGATCCCTCTCAATATATAGGACTTGGTTTAGATTCATTCCAATATTGATAAATGACTCTTGTTTGGTTCTTTGCATCTCTCTACAACTGAACAAAACAGTTGAATAAGCAACGTTATAAACATAAAAGGTCCAAGTCAGAATTTAACCTTTTTATCATTCAAATGGACCAGTTTTAAATTTTTGGGTCTCTTGTGTTCTTTGCATGTCTACAACACAGGCAATAATATCAACAACAGCTACTTTTTTTTCTTTTTTTTTTTTAAAGTAACATTTACAAAATATTGGAAAATTTTTTTTTGGTGGGTAGGAGATTATCATTTCTTAAAATAAAATTTTTCAGATAAATTTTATTCTACAGCATGCATAAAGATTAAAAGAAAATATTGTTAACCTTTTTGTTTACCATTGGCAGGAAAATCACAAGACAAAACTTGTTCATATCTTTGCAAACTGCAGTTTTTCAGAAGACTAAAGTTTCATGCATGACATCATGCCCATAGCATAGAGATAATGATATTTAACTGGATTGAAATTTACTCAATATTTTTGCATGCCATTCATTCAATTAAGAAAATAATTCTAAAATTTTTCATCAGCATTCTCAATGTCATTGTTTATACTAAAACAGTTTAGTTCAAACAAGTGATTCTCTCATCTACTTGTAATAATACCTTGTTAATGTTATTAACATATGTGTATGCCTTTATCTCAGTAGATATACAGAACACTTATCCCAAAATTAATCCACCATATTAATACCTGTTTTTTGCTTTAGTAGATTTGCTTTGGGACACCATTTCATTTTTTGTATGTAACTGCATGTTTAAACAAGGTTTTCAATGTATGAAAACAGATGAGAAAAGCACTAAAGAATAAGTCAAATAATTTCAATTTTTCAAAATGTATCATTGTAAAAGAAAAAAAAAGACTGTTGCAAAAAACACCTAAAATATCCTGAAATGATTTTCATGTAAAAAACCTCAGAATTTTAAACTAAAATCATAATTTTCTACATATATTCTATTAATATTTCACAAAGGATTCAGTTAATACTTTATAAAAACAGAACAAACTAGACTCTAATACAGGTTAATATTTTCAACTTAATTTCAAATTATATAAAAACATACTAATCTAAAAAACAAAAAAAAAAAACAACAAATTTTAAATATTAATTAATCATCATAATCTAATTGACCAGAAATTACTAAACTGTTACCCTTCAAGCTACAGACAGTGAATAGATTATCAAGAGGATTTATAAATACAATGATTTATTTATACCAATAAAGATATACATATGAACTCAAACATGAACAGTACAAAACTCATTTACTTCAATTTCTTCTATACAGTGGTCAAATAAAGCAACCATATGTAGTAACCAAAGTATACAAATGTGGCAAAACATCATTCAGCTTTAATTAACCAGTAATAAAATAGCCAACTCATCATATTTTCTAAAAATGCACTGTTGATTTTGTAATAGAAAGTAATGAAACCAATATCATACAAGCATTTTATGATATTTTTAAATCACAGATGCTAACATGTAATAAAGTATGGCTTATTGAAAAAAGAAAGCAACAAATTACTCAAAATCAGTTGTGTATTTGTATACAAATTAATGAAAAATCACCAAAAAAGTTAAATTAAATTACTTATGAGGGGGTGTTGAAAAGTTTTCAGTTGAATCGAATATCCAAAATCAATATTTTCATTAACAATTATAAGAATATTGATTTTAGGAAATGGGCCAAACCAAAAGCTTTTCAACATTCTCATTTTAAGGTTTGAAGAGATATATCGTTTCTATAAAAGCACACTTGCTTCAAATATTATAATAATGACACTGATTGGTGCAGTCATGTTTTAACGTTAAATAAGCTGTATCTTATGATAACGAAAAATTTTGCATCTATCACTTAAAAATTATACAGTATAAAGATATTCTTGTGCAAAAGCTTAGAGATGCAGGAAGCAGATTTGGAAACATGAGAAAAAATTGAGTCTCATAATTGATTGTCCTTCATTTTATTGGAGTATAAAATAACTATTTTTTTTATATTAATTTACAAATAAAAATTTGTAAAATATTTTATATTATTTAAAAACTTAATTCATTTTATTTTTTTTAATAATAACCAAAATATTAATCTTCACTAGCATTTCATAGAATACTTTTACTTTTCATTGAGGATTAATTTTATAGAAGTTTTTTTTTTTTTTTTTACAATATATCACAAACATAATAATGGTATTTGGGCTGGACAACCACTTCCAGCACTCCTTCAAAGAAAGTTCAAGATTTATTGAATAATACATAATGACATTGTTTATTTGCATATATTTGTGGAGTGCCTTTAGGCAATCTTAGAAAATTAGTATAGTAAAACTCAAATTTTCAGTTTTTAAATGTAAATAAATGTAAGACAATTTAAAAAACAATAACTTATTGTAGGTGACTGCATCATTAGTAAAATATTTTCCTGGAGGAAATAATTTATTCCTAGTAGTCTGTTCCAGTTTATTGTAATGTAACCTAAGACCAAAAAGGATTAAAAGTTTATGTGCAAATTTTTAGTTTCATAAAAAACATGCTAACATTCAGATGCTTGAGGCAAAGGGATGCAAAGAAGTTTCAGTTTGTTAAGAATGGTTTTACAGAGTGGAATATGTAACAAAACAAATGTCAATACATTTTTAATTATCACCAAAATTAGAATTTTTTATAAGTTATAAAGCAATTAGACATTTTGAAAAATATTTTTTTTTATTATAGAATAATCCTTACTGACATTTCTTTTACAGGGAAATTTCAGTGCTTAAGATATTTAAAAATTCCCCAGAAAATATAACAATAAGCATTATTCCAGTAAGAAATAAAAATGCCAAGAACTTAATATAAAAAAATAATCATGAAAAAAAAATCAAATACTAAAAAATGACAAAGTAAAAACTGAAAAAGAAATTAAAAAAAGAAAAAATAATAAATAATAAAAAATAATTAAAAAGTAAATATTCATATGAAAAAACAAGTAAAATTTAAAAATAAAGAAATAAAAATGTTAATGAAAAATTAAATAGAAAAATAAAACAAGAAGAAATACATAAGCAATGAAAAGTTAAAAGTTGAAAAATACAATTAGAAATCAAACATTTTCAGTATTAAGAAAAATAAGTATTTATAGAAAGAAGAGAGTCTCATTATATTTTTGGCAATGCATAACACAACTAAAATTCATTCATACATTATGAATCAACAAAAATAAAAGAAATAAAGAGAAGATAGAAGAATATGTTGACCATCACCTGGATCATCTGAACACCTTTGGGCATTTGGCTTACATGGGTTAGTAATGCACTGGACATGGCTTCAATCTTTGCTTGTGCATTTCCAGGAAGAAGCAGCAGCTGAAAGAGCAGACAGAAAGCAAGAGTTTTTCCATCATCCAATCCTAAAAAGCAGCAGAAACATTGGCCTGCACAAAGCTCATTTTACCAGGGTAGAAAATTGTAAGCATAAACCATTTGAAAATGGCCAGGAATAAATTTTTTTTTTTTTTTTTTTTTTAAATTGATATAAATTTCAAATTAAAATTCTGCCAATGTTTTAAAGCATAATGATATTAAATTGTAAATGAGAATAATAATCTGGAATTTGTATTGTGGTGCAATTCTATCAACTTTTGTTGTGTATTATTGGTTAAGTCTAATTTATATTTTCCAAGGTCAAGTGACTCATCCAAAACTATAATTAATAATTAATGATACACATTAAACAAATAGCTCTTCTCTGGTTCTTTTTAATAGTTGGCAACATTTTTAACCAATTTTCACTTACTGCAAATTTCCAATTTTTAAAGCATGTCACAAATTTAAATCTGATTTTTACATTCTTTCAAAAACTAATAGAAATGAAAAAGAACAGATTTGTAATATTTTTGTTCCTTCAATTACCAATTTATTGCCATGTGTTAAAAATGTTTTTGTTTCGTAAACTAATTTTCATTCTGGTAGATTTTAAAAATCTTTTCAAAGAAAGAAATTTTGTTTATTCATAGCCATTTATATTAAAAAGCTTTCAGCAGGTTCCCAAATTCCAAAGCAAAAACATGCAAATTTATGAACATTCTTAAGAAATGTTTTCAAATGTAGATCTTTCATCATCTTTCTCCCATTTCAAACAGAAAAATTGAATGCTTTGGTTAAGTTTATAGTAATTAAATTATTATTTTATAAAAAAATGATTTGTCAGTCCTGACAATTCCATTATATATGAATTGGCAAAAAACATTTTTATTAAGAAAGCTATATGATCAATTTTTGTGGAATTATTTGGAATAAGTCAAAATGTGGCATAAAATGATAAAGGAAAGAGACAAGATCAATTTAATGATTGACAGGACCTAGTGACTGTAGTTCTGCGCTTCTCTTTAATTCTTAAAAAAAAACTTCATCTCAGTAGTTGAGGAGTTGATGGCAGAATTGCTTTCATATTTGATTGAATTAGTGTTTCCTAACATAATAATGATTTTGAATACTTTTGGAGTCCTTGATTTCTGATAAATTCTAATGTAATTCCTCAAATATTGACATTCCTTGTGAAAATTGATTCAACCCAGACAGAATGCCAAGGTAAAGAAATAATACTGTAATGTCCTTAAAATACATTTACAGGAAAAACCATAGCAATACGTGTCAATATTACTTAATCCAATTGATTATTTCATCAGATGAAAAAAGACATGGCTTGGAATATTACTGGTTGGATCTCAAATGAAAAGATATTTGTCATTTTTTTTTATAAAATGATGTAATGTCAACAAAATAATTTGATTTCAAGTATTTTCACATTAAAAATATACTTCAATTTCTTTAACATCTGAGTCTAAAGTTTGTATTAAAATATTGACAAATTATTTTTCTGCTTTTCAATAAGAAAGAGTTAAGGGATTAATAATGGTTAAAACAAGTTTAGATACACCAATTTTACATGAAGAAGCATAGGAAATAAGAAAGTGGGTTCAAGAATGAAGGAGGGGAGGAAATAAAGTGTTTTTAAGAATGAAGAATGAAAATTTGGGGAATTTAAGCTCAGCATTCTTTGGGGAGCATGTGTCCAAGTTATAATGTTAGAAAATAGAAACCACAGGGCAAGACCCAAAACAATCAGTTTGCCAAAATTAATGACTAACTGAAAAAGATATTGTCATTGTTAATTTCATACAACTCTTAAAATACCTTCTTGGGATCTTCATGATTGGATGAAGCCTGAAAGAGACATTTCAAAGTTTTCATCAGTAATAAATCCCCAAGTACAAGTTTGAAAAGCAATTGCTTTATGCTTTATTTTATTAGTGATTGCCTTCTTGGTTCTGCACAAATATCTTTTACTTTCATAATATATTTGCACACTTCAGAGATGAGCATCCTAACATTTATTTAGTCATCAATTTAGTAATCTATATTGAGTAAATTACTAAATACAAATCCTTTTTTTAAAAATTAATTTAGAGCAATTTTCCATTAGTTTATAAAAATCAATTTTATGCATTCTATCATTTTACATTTATGTTTCATTTTTATAAATTCTTATTTTCTTTCCTTTAAAAAATAAACTATAGGTTGACACTGATAGCTTTTATAATTTTACTTACTTTTTAATCATGTTCTATAAATTTTGCTCTTAAAAATTTACAAAACACAAAAAAGTAATGTGTTTTACTTATTTTTCATCACTTTCTTACAAATAATGTCTCACTGAACAAAAAAAAATTGTTTATATTATATTGTTTTAAATTTTAGACAGTTACAATTTTTTCTGAAGATTTGATGATTAAATTAACAAGATTTAATATACTGGTTATATTAATAACATTCAAAAATAATATTTCAATTCATTCAAGCCCATAAACTGAGAAATGCTCATCAAATTTGATGAGGTTATTAACAGGGCCCTGGTATATGTTTACAATATTAGTTACTTTTTGAAAATTCCAAAACTTTGGGGGTGTGGGGTGGGGATTTGATGCATAATGTAAGTATAATGCTGGACCTTGTATCGATTTAACTAAATAGAATATCTATCGTTTTGTTTAACAGGATAACTAAAAGCTAAAAATAAATAATCCAGTAAAAAATTTGATTAATTTAAATAAAATATAATCAAAGAGTTTATCCGGGCAATGATTTTCAATTAAAGTAAGATTCAATAAATACTTAGTACAAACCCCTGATCTCTTAGTGGAGTCAAAGTTACTATTTAGGCCTTCTGCAGAATCTAGCTTAAAATTCCATGCATGGAATGGATTTTTAGCCAGTTTGAATCATATGCTAAAAGTATATATTAAACTTTACTCCAAAAGCTTTCAACATGATATAAGCTCAGTAATTGACACTGGATGAAGAACCAGTATTTATAACATTAGTGTTTTTATTTATTTATTTATTTATTTTTTTAATGTGCTCTGGATTCATAAAAAGGTTTTGTATGAAACTTCAAGATTAATATGAATTAATTTAAAGTACAATTAAGATTTGTGAGGAATTCTGATAGAGAACCAATAATGAGAGAATGTTTGATGAGAAGTTCTTGAAATTGGACATATCATAGAAATAAAGGTTTTGTTTTTTTTTTTAGCTTGAATTAACATGAATAAAATCTCAATTCTTGCCAGTTTTATATTTTTTTTATTTTTACATAAGAGTTATATAAGCAATATTCTGATCAGTAATAGGCAATAGAATAATTTGAAAATTAAATTATATACCTGTCGGGGATCTGAAAGTGGTGGAAGAACAACAGTCTTTTCCATTGTGTGCATCACAATCTTCCACAATTCCTAAAAAAACAAAATAAAAAACATGTATATACATACACACTCCAGTGTGATATCATTTAATAATTTGAGGACAGAATAAAAATTTTAGCACAATGATGCTTATATGGAATATATAATTTCAATCTTTATTTAATATTACAGTATTTATATTTTTCTTGTAAGATGAAGGGTGGGGATCAAATATAAAATTTTGAAACCAGTTTTTAAAATAATTTTACCTTCTATATATAAGATTAAAATGTTATTTTGTATTAAAAATCAAAAAACTTTTTTTTTTTTCAAATAATTTGAGTAATGCAAAATCATTAAATGAAATTAATGCAATCATTTTTAAATAAAAGCATGTACAAATATACATAATGACAAAAAGATTTAAGATTAAATATATGAGCTTAGAAAAAAAGAATTGTCTTGAGAAAACTGACCTTGAGTAATCGTTTCAAGACTGTCTTCTCACAAGCTTGTGAGAACATTGATAAGCTGGTAAAGAAAAAACAAATCAAATTTTTTTATGAATTCATACAAAATGTTCTCATTATTTAAAAATCATGATTTTTTTCATAATCCTAAAACTAAAACCCAAGAACAAAAAAATACACACACACAAGTCAAATAAAAATATCTAACAATCTCCTAATCATCCATTGATTCAGTTGACTGACATCCCATATAAACTGATGCATCCAAAGTAAGAGGACAGATGCCTCATATTGTGTAAGATCCCCTCGAGTTTGGCAAAGTGCAAGAACTTGACATGGCATTGACTCCACAAGTGATCAGAACACCCCTGGAGAGATGTTGAGCAATGCTGTCTTTACAGCTGTCCACAGCTCCCTGACATTGCTAGGCCACACCATTTGTCAGAAAATTACAGAATGCTTCTCAAACCAAGATTAGGCAACTTTCACCTGATGATACAGTGCATTATCATGCTGGAATAACCTATCATTATTGGGATATATAGAGTTAAAAATAGATACAAATAGCCACAAACAAATGCAACATAGTGGTCACTGGTCAATGATGCTTTTAAGCAGACAAGCAAATCCAACTCATGGTCCATGAACACACCTCAAACCATTATAAAACTGCCATCAGCCTTTATGTGGTGTGGGTGACTACTAGGATCTATAAGGTCTGAGCCATCTACAAACCCTACCATCAGCTTGAAAGAAAAAAATGATTTCAAGAGCCCAGGTTAAGTGCTTAGTGCTGGGATGTTAACTGGAGTATTGTAGTGGGTCTACTGCACCAATAGAAGCTAAAGAACACTGAACTGACCTACTGGAGATATATGTTTGATGCTTTTGCATGGAATGTGGATTTGATTTGAGACAATGTTACTTGTCTGATACTGCAGACAATTTTAGCCAGATGCCTTTGGTCATGATCCTTAGGGACATGTGGTCAACCACTGTACTATTCAATGGCATCAGATATTCTCTGTACAATTGTAAAATCACTGTAGATGAAGGTATGTTGAATGCCTCAACAATTTCAGAGGTGAAATGTTCAATTCATCTGGTATTTGCTATTACAACTCATTCAAACTCAGATAATTCAAATCCTCTTGCCATAAGTAGCCTAGCTGGTGTTCCCACTGACTCACCAGGTGTCATACAGGCCTCAACATTTCTATGACATCAAGGTATGGTGATGCTATCTACTACTACCTTTACATACTACTAAACCATGAATTGGCACATAAGTGTACTGAAAAAAGTAATAAATATTTCTTTTTGTGTTGACAAATAGGTGAGACAAAAAAAACCCCATCTTTTCTGATACTAATATGTAAATAAATAAATACTGCACTGTTTAAAGAAATTGGAAGAATCTATTCATTTCAAGGTTTAAAAACTACTGTATAATTTCAAAGTATTTAAAACTATATCAACAAAAAATGCAGTTGTTGCAAAAATTACCTTCCATCAAGGAGATCCATTAATGGTCTCAGGATCATATCTGACTCTGCTTGTATGTTACTTCTCTGACTGGGTTGAGAAAGGGACACTTGACCAGCACCTTTCACATTTGAAAGTAGTTTACCTAGTTCTTGAATACTTTGTTGAATTTGAGGCTCAAGGCTGAAAGGAGAAAAAAAAAAGGAATTTATTAAAAACAAATTCTTTTTCCCCATTATACATGGAATCTTTTTCAATGTCATTTTTCTCTTAGGATTTAATGAAGATAACACCACCGTATAGATTTGACTCTTTGCCACTGCTCTAAACCTCATTTTCTTTCTATTTCTCATTCACTTGGCCAATTTTTTTTATGTTTAATAACCTTGAAAGATTTACTTTTTATTCTTGGACATGATCTGTCTCAATTAGGTACAAAATTGAAATGAGTTTTAATTCAGTTTCTTTAACAAAGAAAGTTGGTCTTTTGTTTTCACAGTGGCACACAAAGATTTGCATGCATACCTATTGTGGACCAGATGATGTCATGAGATTGCAACTATAAATGAAAGTCTGGGCCTGATTTTAAAGGATTTGTGCAAACAGGCATGAAATCAATAACACATCTCTTGAACATTCTAATATGAAAATGAATATCCTGTTTGAATTTAAAGATGGTAAACCCATTTAGTAAAGAAAGTAATCAAGTTAACAAACTATAACAGGATTAAGGAGTTTAGAAACATTTACATTTATATAGATAGTGAAATGAAATATTTTGTGCTTAAGAATATGAATAATGCTTTAAATGGTCAAGAAAATGTTACCTTTTAGCAAATATTTGAGCTAATTCATCCAAAACTCCATTTAGTTTTTGTTGGAGCTCCTTCAAAATGTCTGCTGCTTCCGTATCCAACTGCAGTAAAGAGAAAACAACAAACCATGGAGCAGAACTAACAATATAAATCATCATAACCCAAATTAGAATGTGCATCTTCTATATTATGACTTATAAATTTTGTTTTATATTGCTTTATTGATTTGTAGATTGATGACCAAACAGATTGTCAGACATCTCTGGAGAGAGAGAGAGAGCTGAGACAGATTACTAAATTATGAAGTTTATAAAAATTAGTTATACAAGCCATAATTTAATATAGTTACAAAAGCTATTTAAAATTAATAATAACAGGTTAAATGAAATGTTTTTTAAATTTTCACTGATGATTTTTGGCAACTTGTATTTTCATGTTATTAATTTGATACAACTGATTCAATCTTTTCTGAATTGTTTATTCTTTATTTTCATATATAACATATAAACATTGCTTATTCTTTATTTTATAGCTTTGATAATGAGTGGTGACAAAATTGCAATTAGAGTTATTTTATGCTGCCTGTTGAAAAAACAACCGAGTACAAGGGCAGTGGCAAAAGAAATTAATTATGTGGAAGCAATTGTCAATGAACATTCGACACAAAACTGGTTCAGATATTTCAAGGAAGGTTACACCAGCCCTGAAAACAAACCAAAGTTAGGGAGACTCTGTTTTGAAAAATAAGGCCTTTCTTGAAATGGTTGAACAATAGCCAAGCATAAGTATTTGTACATTGTCATCAGATGTTGGTTCTTCTGAAAGCACCATCAATTAACACCTCCATAAACAGATTTTTGTGAACAGATGCTGTAGCGAAGTTCCTCATTAACTGACCAATGACAGGCACAATGATATGCGAACATTTGCTAACAACTACTGGCAAATCCTCGAGATACCATTTTTATAACTAGGGATGAACAATGCACATACTACCAATGTGACCACACTTGAGGAGCTGGAAGTGCTGCCTCAACCTGTCTACAATCCAGACGTTGTAACATCAGATTAACACCCTTTTTAGCCATGGTTCATTTTCTACATAGATAGAGGTTCAACAATATGGATGAGGTTGAAAACAAGTGTGGGGAGATTTTTTTGCATCTAAACCAGCATGGTATAAGCATGAAATTGAGCTTCTGGAATAACAATGGCAACAGATAATAGAATAGGATGGGATATATTTGGATGAATAAATGCTTTTTTTATGTAACTTTTTTGAATAATTAAAACTTGAAACATGAAAAAACTTTTGGCTCAACCTAGTAATCCGTAGACATTCATAATAGTTGTGTTTAGGCTCATATTAACCATTTTAACTATTAAGCAAAATAAGAACATGCTTAGCGCATAAAAAAAGTGGATGTCACAGGTTTTTTCTTCTGAATGTATTATGCTTTGAAATGATAAGATCATGTTTTCAATAAAACCTAAAAGGCTGAGATAAAAACCATGCAAACAGGCAGAGAAAAATATTCATCCCATTTTGTTTGCAACTTTTTTGTAGGGATCTTAAGTCAATCAAATTATGCTCATTTAATTTTTTTAAAGGACAGGTTGTCCAATGCAAAAAGCTTTATTTTTTATGTCTTCACAAATGTGACAATGTCCAAAACTCTCAAAGTTTATTTCCCTTGCCTCTCAACCCTTATTCAAGCTCTTGCAGTATCAATGAAAAATATCAATTTTAACATCTGGTAAATTGTGGATTCTCTGAAATAACAAATAAATTCCTCAATTTTCCATTTATATTTACAACAAAGACAGATTTGAACTTTATGAATATATTGCCTTATTAAATTAAAAGCAGTCATTTTTGGTTTAGTTGTCACCAGATGAGGGCTGAGGAATTCTTAGGTTGTGCTTATGGCATCAGTTGGCCTTAATCCAGCCTTGTTTATGTTAAAGTCCTTAAAATATAAAATTTAGAAAACTTCATGCATGTACATTTCTTTTTAAGTTGCTTTGATATTACAATTTGGATTTAAACAACATTAAATGAGAAAATGGCTTGCAAAAATACTATCATTAACTTGCAAAATTCAAGTATTATTCTTAGTATCTAAGAATAATACTTGAATTTTGCTAAAATAAATCTGTTCAGCCAATCATAAATTTGATATTTACCTTTTCACCTCCCATTGATTCAAATACTTTTTCCAGCTGTACTCTAAGTTGTTGTATATTATTCATCAAAATACAAGCCTACAAAAAAAATTGTATCATATTAAGAAGATTAATCATACATAAAGAAACAGAAATTTAAATTACACAACTTTAAACAGTCAAACTATTTGGTTGTGAAGAGAAATAAATAAAAGTGATACATAATATTCTTTTTTTTAATGGAGAGAGAGAAAAAAAATAACAAAAAAGAAACACAACTATGTATTCAAGGTTTCTTGTTTAAGTATCTTGATATTATTTTCATATTTCTCACAAAAGTATACATTTACCATATTAATAATTTATAAATATTTCAGAGGTCACTTTCACCCTTAATCACATTTTATTCATTTCTTTATTATCTTTTTGAACTTTTCAAACTTTGGACTTTTTTTCACAATGATTTCTTACATGAACTGAACAGAAGGAGACTTTGTTAAAGACTTCAATAATCCTGTTATTTCTCATCTTTACTGATTTCCACATGCCTTACAGCCAAAGTTTTATAGAAATTTAGTAAAGAAAGCATAGGAATCTAAAAGTAGGAGAGAAAACTTTTACTAAAATCTTGAATATATTTGCTCTCTATGATTTTGTGGGGAAGATCATATTAAAAGAATGAATAAATTAGTTTTAAAAGAAAGGCTTAATTTAGAATATCACTTGGAACAGATGAAAAGGTTAAAAATATGGAATAACATATAAACTGAAAGAAAGAAGCAGGGAAGACTTGAGGAAAATGACTATTGTTTTGAGAAAAGATATTATCGAATGGCCAACTGAAAAATTTACCCCCCCCTCCCCAAGGGTTAGGGAGAAATAGTGAAAATACATTCAGATGAGAATTTTGCTAAACAAGGCAGAAATGGAGAAATTAATTTATGACCATTTTACTAAAGTGCAAGTGACAAAAACACATCTCATGATTACCAGGTGGAAGAAGGGGGTTAATTAAGTATAATCTTACTTATTATAAAACGCAGATTGTGTGTGTGTGTGTGTCTGTAACATTTATATAGTGGATCGGATTTCCTACATTTTTCAACCGATTTCAACAAAACTTCACAGGACTACATAAAATTACCTTGTGGTGGTTCTAACAGCGCCAAAAATGGGAAAAATACAATTTTTTTTGCACAAAATCGATTTGAAAACACGATTAAGAGACATCGTGAAAATGGAAGGGAGACAACTCACATCGGGTTATCGGATTTCCTATATTTTTCAGCCGATAAAACAAAAATTCACTTTTTTTTTTTGGAAGGTAGTGTTTCTTATTCTCTTGCATACTTTTTTCTTTATTTTTAATATTCAGAATGCTTTAAAAATTCCATTTACAAGACAATTGTTTATAATAAAATTCTATTCAATTGGGAGACTCATAACGATTGAAAACAATGTTTTTGTTTGAGTTTGGGTTTGACCAATTCGTAAAAAAAAAACAAAACAAAAGAAAAAAAAAACTAATTAAGACATGCGTGTCCGTCAACCTTAAACAATAATCTAACGATCTCTACTGATTGTACGAATACAAAAATTGGATAATTCTTTATCTTTAGGGAAGGATAATGAAATCTAAACATACACAAGTCCTAACTAAAAATAATAACCGGAACGGGAAACTACTTTAAATACACATGGTGTCCAATTTTTTTTTTACTGTATTCAATAAGTAAAAAAAAAATCATAAATTGTAAAAGATTATTATTACAAAAAGGCTACTAAATGAATAAGATTTGTTAGATCATAATTAATAAACCCAAATAAAGTTAATATTTTTTGTATTAGAAACGAGTGGAAAATATATTCAAATCAGAATTCTAATTATGAATCACCACAAGCAAAATATGCAATTTTTTTACTGTATTCAATAAGTAAAAATCATAAATTGTAAAACTAAAAGATTACAGAAAGGCTACCAACATTTTTTAACCGATTTCAACAAAACTTCACTTTTTTTGGCAGGTAGTGTTTCTTATTGTCTTGCACACTTTTTTCTTTATTTTTACATTCAGAATGCTTTAAAAATTCCATTTACAAGACAATTGTTCATAATAAAATTCTATTCAATCAGTAGAGACTCATGACAATTGAAAACAATGTTTTTGTTTGAGTTTGGGTTTGACCAATTCGTAAAAAAAAAAAAAAAAAACTAATTAAGACATGCGTGTCCGTCAACCTTAAACAATAATCTTTGTCAATTTTATTTTTCAGTCTTTATGATGGTGGATACTTGATCTATCTCTTACTGTTATATCCCCGGGCAATGCCAGGCTCTACTGCTAGTATTTGATAATTTTGAGGACAAATGTGGAATCAAGAGACTGACTTATGCCTGTCTGTCAACAAGTGGAAATGGCTTCACTGATTTTGGGCATGTAAACAAGTCAAAAAACAGGATTTTATCCTGCGTTGAAGGTATTCAGGTAGTAAATGAACCTGTGAGGTTCATGAGTGCTATTAAGCAAACAAGCTGATTGCGTAAACAAGACTAGTTGTTGAAAATTAAAAAGATAATTACAATTAATGACTAAGAGTTAAGATTGCTTTTTTGCTTATGTGGTTGGTTTGAAAGTCAGAGTTGTCAAAAAGACAGCTGAGGTGGCAGGCTTAGATGAGATACCAAGAGAGACAGAAGAATTATCTCCACCCAGTTGGAAGTAATGGTGTGAGACATAGATAAGGCAAGGAATGAGTTATATGGGCAGGCCGATACCTGCAACCACTACCTGTAGGAGGAGGGGATCTCCCAAATTTGGAGAGATAATTAATATTACAAACCAGACAACAAATAAACTTTGTTTAAATCAATAAAGAAACCTGAGGAAATCCCAAATTTCCAAGCACTATCAGCCCCCACTTTGATTTTGAGAAAAAATCATTAATAAGGTGAGCATTTAAGTAACCTAGGCAGTTGCAGCCAGAGATGGTGAGAGACAGTGGCAGATGAAGGAACTGCTGAAACCAACGTGACCTACTGCCAATAAAATTCCCAACTTTGTGCCCTGTTCTAAGAATTTGCACTGATGGGCAAAGTGTCACTAAAGAGATTTTAGTGGAAAGGGTTAATTTTTGTTATACCAAGAACTACATAAACCAAAACAAAAACTAACCCAAAGACTTTTTTGTTTTTATTTTGTCTGCAAAGACATTTCTATCTTTTTTTCTATCATAGCACAGACTTGTCATGGTTTGAATCAGTGCTATGACACTGACGGTTAATTGATCCCTACCAACTCTGTGATCAAGAAACACAATGTGGGTGAAGCAAGGTGTAGTCCAAAGTGGACAGCGACCAACAACTGTTGACCTGTGACAGTATTAAACAACATGGGATTGACTCTGCAATCAGCTCATTGTCCTACATCCCTAAGGACCAAGACATCTTCTGGTATAGGTGGTGTGTGGCAAGAGCCAGAATGTTTGGACACTGCTGACCAGGCTGATCTATAATCAACCACTGGGTTAAGTGTTATATTAATATCAACAATCAGAGCTTTAAATTAAAGAAAGACAGTCAAGACAGCCAATTTCAAGCATGAAAAGTATTAAAGAATAGATCCTATCACTTTAGGAATTATTTCAGTTCTGATCAAATTTTATTGATTAAAATTTTTTGAAAATCAGAAAAAACTTGCAGAGAAGGAAACATAAAAAGAAATTGAAAATCTGCAAATCTCCCCAGAACATGATAACATTTCGATGATGACAGTGAAAGATATTAATTATTACTTACTGTTTTCTGACGTCCAGTGTATTGTTCAAAATCACGCCGAACAATGGCTGCATAGGCAAGAAGTACTTGGTTTATTGTCTACAAAGAGAAATAAAGAAGCCATATTTACTGAACTGCCTTCAGGAAAAGTTTGTTTAACAGGTAAATAACTTTTTTCCTGTCTAAATTTTTGAGATAAGCAATTATTATACAATGATTCTTTTGAACTTTCATCCTCTGTCCCTCTTGCCTTCAACATGTCCCATGAATGTTAAATTTTCCAAGCCCTCTTTCCTCATTGTTCCCTAGAAATTTCAGCAAACATGGATAAATGTGCCTGCAATAAGACATAGTGTTAAAAGGACAATTTTTTCCCTGTCACCAGTTTTTTAAGTACATTCACACTTCAGCAATGTTTGTTTTTACAAAATAATGATAAGAATTTGAATAAAACCTAAACAAATGATGAAAGTGAATTTATACATATTTTTTGTTCTTGAGAATTTACAAGAAAAATATTAAACACTATTTACTTATTAGATTGTTTATTTACAAGAATAATTTTATATTTTCAACATTTTAAAAACTAATATAGTTAAAACTAATGCAGTGAAATATTATTTACTAATTTATAAGAAATAAATGTGAAAACAATTTTTATTCATAAACATTTTCTGAATTATTAAAATATATGAACCAACTATGAGGAAATCCTTATTATTTACCATTTGATAAAATTTGAATCAATTAGCCAGTGTTTTACCAACCAATATTATTTATTGGATATAAATAATATAATAAAGTAGCAGCAAATAACTTATGTAATAAGATTATGTAAATGGTTTGCAGTACAGGGATTAGAAGAGACAGCAAAAAGACAAACATAGTTAAGAGATACGAAGGATAGGAAGTTGTGAAGTTCCATGACCACCCATATCCTGAAGTAACATGTCACATAGAAGAAGAATACAAATCATATGAAATTTCTTGCATTGTGAATAAGAGGTGCATTTATAACAAACTTAATGTTAAACAATGAAAAAGATAGTGATTGGAAAGTTACCTTAGCAAACCGTGCCATATAATGTTTAACTATTTCAGGATCAGGACATTCTAGCTTTTTAATGACATCAAAACACTGATTTAGCTGTGTGAAGATATCCACCACTGATGTTGAAAATAAAGCATGTTCAGAACTTTTGACAAACTGAAAAAAAGAATAGAAAATTGAATCTTGTCATTCCAAGAAATACAATTAGTACAAAAAATAATTTAAAAAATTATTAATAAAGACTTAAAAATAAATGGTTAATATTCAGACACTGAAACATATACACATTCTGAATTTTGTTAATTTAGTTTTTCTTGTCTAATCAATATGTTTGTCTAATTCAGCAACCAGTTGAATATAAGAATAAAACAAAAACTTTGGGAGGAATTAAATGTATGGAGAAGTTAAATATTGCTAATCATATTAGATTACAGAGTTAACGAAATTAGATCTTTTATTAAAATTAAAATAAAACAATATTAAATTACTCAAGAATACTTATTGACATTGAATCGCTACAATGCTAATTAACCTTACAAGTTTGTACTCTAAGGTAAAGTGAGTATATATATATATATATATATATATATATATATATATATATACACACACAGAGAGGATGCGATGGGTAAATTGTCACTATTTTATATTTTTAATTTTATGCATATATGTTGTTTGTTTTTGATTTTGTTGACTGCACTGTATAATAGGGTTAGTTAGGCATCATCTGTGAGAAAAAGAGCACTATGATGCAATTCACCCCACCAGAAATTTGGAAACAGTAGTGCAGAAAGAGTTGAATGAGTCTATTGGTAATTACGAAGGTGTGGCAGCTCAGAAAACTCACTCTGATAAGAAAATAACTCCCAAATTTGTTAGTGAGGGCCTCAAACTTAACACAGGGGCCTACATCAAGTGCCATGAGGAGGTAGTGTGGCCCTGGGTCAAGAGGGTAGATGTTGGAAGACCCTATATCAGGCAACAGGACACTGCACCATGCCACACAAGCAGGAGAACCCAGTCATGGATGACAATTTCTGCAACCACAGAACCTCTTACACCTAGCTGTTGTAGCATACCTACAGACAATGATAGGTATGTCCCCATTCACATAAATACAGTATTAAATGCTGTATGTTGGTCTGCGGGTGGAGATTCATTGTGGAATTCACTTGACTCACTTATAACAGTTGACTACTACTTCTACGCACCGCTGGCAAATCTTGTGTGTGTTGTCCGTGTCCTAAGTATTATCATTCATTACCAACCATCATATGATTATTCTATTCAGTAACCTTCCCTAGGTTACAATACTAAATCTCCAGACTGCGAGTGAGAGACCAACAAAACTCCTTGTAACACCAAAGATGAAATGAAATGAAGGTAAGGATTATGGAAGAATTCACCAACTTAAAAGATAAGATTACCGAGAAGATTTGTAGGAAATTCTGAAGTCATCTGGAGGCCGTGGTTGAAGCTAATGGCAATTTTGTTTAATAAATATACTCTTTAGTATTTCAAGATATTTTTGTGTCATTTTGGTAAACATATCTGTTAAAGTATTATTTTGATTTTTGCATAATTTAGAATACAATTTATACATCACAACCTGTGTGTGTGTGTATGTATATATATATATATATATATATATATATATATATATATATATATATATACACACACACACCTCCACAGAAACACAATACACAAGGTTTAAAATGAATTTTTAAAAATGAAAAATCTTTCTTGAAGTTTTTATTTTAGTTTTAATTTCAAGCTAACAGATTAAATTCAATATTTCCAATAAGTAAAATACTTTGTTGTATGTCAAAACTAATTTAAATCAACTGGAAGAAATTTTCACGTTGTAATTGCTAAAATCACTGATTTTAGTGCCATTTTTAGCCCTCTCATCATAGTGTAATTCTCTCAAAATCTTTCAAAAATGAAATATACTTTTCTGAAACTTTGAGTAATATGAACTGATTTAAAGTTTAATCTGATTTGAAACATATTACTCTTTAAAAGTTTAAAATATTGCAGAAATGTATTTTTTAACATGGTGATACCTGCTTATTTAAGATGTTGACAGCTTGACTGACAGAAGTTTTGTCTAATTTTTTTCTACATTGGATAGATCTGTAAAAATTACTTGAGGAATATAATGTGAGTGCCAAATTTACATAATTTTTAACTACCCAGCAATCTTAAAAATCTAATGTTTTATTGAATTTTAGATACTTTGGCTTTAAATTTATTATAGTAATGGCTCTTATTTTCTGATAATGTGTATTTTTGTTATGCTTATCAAAAACTGTAAATCTTATTTTACTTGAAGGAAAAAAAAAATTCAAGAAATTTGTGCATACCCCATCTTTTTTGTCTCTCTCATAAGCACCTCGTAAATAATCCATGGAGACAACATCATTTTCATTTAACCACTGCATGACATATGATTCAAACCACCTGTTGAAATACAGGAGAGACCATTATAAAAAACAAAAAACAAAAAAAAAAAAACGAGAGAATTATTAATCTTTAATCTTTTTATTGCAGCTCAGATCATTAATCTGTGGCCATTAAATAATCTGAGGTTTGTGATACAAAGCAATGGGAAGATGAAAAAAGTAAAAAATTAAATACTGATAATCTATAAAGGATATTAGATCTAATAGGACTAGATTAATGGCAATTTTTGTTTAATTAAAATGAACATTGCCAAAACTATTTTCAAATAAATACCCATATATGTTATAAATTTTTGTTATTTCATATCAAAGAAAATAGGAGTAAAAAAAAACTATTTTTTTTTTAGACTTAATGCTTTCATTATAATATTAGAGAATAAAAATGAAATAGAAAAACAGCCCAAACTAAACTTTTATGAAGAATATTCAATAACAGAAACAATTTTATCTGACATAATTGAATAAATTTGATATAAGTCCTTACCTTCAAAATTTTATCATTTATGACAATATCCATGTAATATAAAAATTTGTTTTAAATAATCTTTAAATGGTGTTATTTATTACAATATAAATATATATGACAGAATTTATAAAACAAACAACAAACGCTTTGTTTGGACAAGGTGTTGCTGAAAAGTCCTTAACTTGACCAAAAAGAATGATCTAGAGAAGTTAAATATACATTCTATTCCATGTATCTATCCCACAGTTCAAGACATTTGCCATATCATTTTTCAAGTTTCTTTAACACTTCCCATTAAATTTTGATATTTGGTCATGGAAATATTGAATTTGCAAAATGGAAAGAACTTTTCAGCACTTTCTCATGAAAAGAAAACTTTCATTGTTGCTTTTATAAACCATGACAAAAAGGAACATAATATTATTTATTTATTACAATTAAATATTTAAAGTGCACTGCTTAGAAATAAGTGTGTATATTTCATGAATATTGTCATAAGTGATCAAGTTTTGAATATAAGTGATTTTAATTTTCTTTTTTTTTTCTTGTAAATTATATTCATACATAAAAGTAGAGACATACAATAACATGATTCTCATTTTTTTTTTTGGTTACTTGCTAATTGTTCATGTTTTCAAAACCATTTTATAAACAATATATTGCTACTCATACTTACGCAGGGTAATCAGGTACTGTTCCTTTCATCTGAGGCACATCAGCGACATATTTAGTATATAACCATTTCACTTTGAAATGGAGATTCATATATTCTGAGCTTTTGCAAGGTTTCTCTTCTTCATCATCTGCAAGGAAGGAAATAAAATTAAATAAATGCTCTTATCTCATAAAAAGGTAATTGTCAGTTGCTATTTTATAAGAAAAAATAACTGTAAAAATATATATAATTTCTTATAAGTTGAAAGAGAAAATAAAAAATTCAAGCAAATAAAAAAAGCTGTGTAGTATAGTGAGAAGACATTAAAAAGATATGCAAAAATGACATTGAAAAATCTGCCTAAAATAATGTAGAATCTTCTTCATAAGAATGAATAAAATTGAAACCAGAACTCACCAGCCAGTGCTTCCCTTAAATCTATGGACAGAGAGCTCCACATATTTGCAGCACTCACTTGTCCGACATTTAAATCTTGAGGGAATCTAAAAAAAAAAAAAACACGCAATACAAATATTGAATACATTCAATCTGAATAAGAGAAATGCACAGTTAGTAAAAGACTTGAAATAGCACAAATACTAGATATTTCAGCAAAACTACTATACATGTAAGATTCATTATAGAAATTAAATACAATGAAAAGTTTTAGATTCATTTCCAGTTATGTTTAGTTTTTTTTGTTAAGGTCAGAGTTTAAATGTAACTTTACTAATCTTATTTCATAAATATAATCATTTATAGTAATAACTATCAACAATAATCTATGATAAAATTATATGACTGAGAGCAATCATTATAGTTGGCTAAAAGTTGGGATTTTGAATGGTGACATTCGAACAAGTAGGTCCTCTCCACCTTGAAGGCTAGTGTAACAATCTCCCTGGTTCTATCTACTTTAATCTGGTTTTGTCATAAGTTGAACTTGATAAAACTTATTTGTGACTTCATTCAAAAGAATCTGCTGCTAATTTTGTTAAGGTTTGTGTATATCTCATGATCAAGGAATTACTTATTCCCAACTTAAAAATGTTAATTTGTAACAATATTAGATTGAAGGTAAGCTGATGGGGAAGCAAAAAGAAATAACGTTAACTTGGTTAATTTAAGATTTTATGCATTTTGCAAATAATTTTTCATTGACATTTCTAGAGATTATTGCCAAGTTAGATTTCAGAGCAGACTGAACAAACAACCACTTGAAGTAGATTATACATTGCTATTGTCAATCAAAAACAATTATAAATATGTCATACTAATAGAATACAAGTTTGGAGTGCAAAAATTCATGATGAAAAAACAATGAGAGTTAAACAAAAATAAATGAAAAGCAAACATCTTACTGATTCAATACAGGTGTGTAGCTATTCTTGTCCTCTTCAATGACAGAAACAGTAAGAGCAATTAATTTATGCCAAAATTCCATTGTTTTGTGGCCTTCTGCCTCCTCTTTGCTTTCACCGGCATCCTGGAATTCACGTTGGTAAAGAACATAGCAGTTGTCAAAGATGAACTTATATGTTGATTTCATACAAGCTATAACGCAGTCCTTCACAACAGAACTGGCCCGTGGAGGACTCGTCAGTTCCTGAACCTAGAAGCAAATAAACACACATATTAAAGACAAAGTAAAAAGTAAGCACATTAAATTTGTATATAAAATATATATGTCAGTGAGGGAGACTGAAAAATTTTCCGTCCAACCCACTTCTTAAAATTGATTAAATAAAGAAACAGATTTTGAGAAGGGTTTCTTGGTTAGGCTGAGAACTTATGACTTTTAGCGTATTTATAATAGACACAGGGAATGCTTAAAAAATAATGCATCCATTTATTTTCATGGAAACCATAACACAAACAGAATATGATAACACTGTTGGATAGAACAAGTTTTTAGCTACAAAATACTTTTTTCATATAGTTACTAATGGCTATGTCCTTTTGATGCATTCTTGATTTTGTGGGTTGACCCCTATGCAAAGATGCCTCTAACATGGGTTGTCAAAAACATAACCATTGCTGAAATGCATTACCCATTATACACTACGTTCAGCAAGTTTTGGTGAATGTCAATGATTGCTATATTTTTCATATGGGGTAATTCAATGATATACATCTACTTTTTACACTTTCATGCCAGAAGGCATTTTGCTAGACTGGTATCTGTAACAAGGCAAAAAACAAAAAACAATTATGGGCTATTGTTGGGAAGGTTTAACCACTGCCATACCACAGACATCTGCCTCTGACACTGTGGGCCAATATAATAAAAAAAGGAGACATTATTTCCAAAGCAACTTTCATATACATTGAAATTCTTTGAAATTGTTTATTCTTCTTTCTACCAACTATTCCTCATAGCTAATTCAAAAAGAATGAAGAAAACTATTCAAGTCAATGAATATTTTATTAACAGAAAATCAAAGCTGTTAGAATAGTAATTTGTATTTGAAGTACTTACTTTCATCCTGAAAAATGTTATACTCGTGAGAAGATCGACTGTGGACTTCAAGTCCTGAAGCCGAGCAGGATCGGAGGCAGGGAAATTGTTCTGAAAATTGACAATATTATGCAAAGATTAAAAGATGCAAGAAATTTACAGGAAATGATGTGCAAAATTCACATAATGTTCTATCATTTGAATCAGTTTTGTTAAGTGTTAAATTGAAGGTAAGCTGATGGGAAGCAAAAAGAAATAACATTAATTTGGTTAATTTAAGATTTTATGCATTTTGCAAACTGATATATATATGATTAAAAATTATTTGTTGATTATGCTAATAATGTAAATTATGCACTTAAATTCTAGAAACTTATAATAATAAATATTCTCAGAAAAAGTAATATCACATTAAAAATCCTGAAATAATAATGATTATTATACTAGAGATATGGAAAAATAAGAAAAAGCATTTTTGACACACTTTATAACAAGATACATAAAATTATGCACAAAGTCAATGATCTAAGAATGCATTCCTAGTGATGTATAAAACTTTTCGTCCATCTTTCTGTTAACATGCTGTGAGCCTGTCAAAAAATGTTGGGAAAAATAAATTTTAAGTGATTATATTCAAAGCATTTGTGACATTTCCTTGGCAGCTTCTTCTCATTTTGATTATTAACCAGGGGGAAGGTGAGTTAATTTTAATTTACTTCACTTTCAATCAACAGCAGTAGAAAAATGTATATGATAAAAAAACTGAGATGATAGTGAGTAGGTGATAAATCATAAAAATGAAAGAAACTGATATAAGGAATTTATGATATAAAAAATAACATGTAAAAAAAAAAAAAAATAAAAAATATTTCACAAACAAAAATAATTCACAAAAAAAATTGCCACATGAAACATTAAAATTAAAGATAATAGATTTATATTTACCAGAAATAGACAAATTGGAATGCACAAATTGATAAATAAACATGATGATAATTAAAATATGTTAATGTCCTGCTTATGAAGCATTTTTGAGAGCAGGAATGAAGAATTATGACAATAAGGAAAAATTGAGTCATTATTTGAAAATTTGCAAGAAAATTCCTTTTTATTTTGAAAAAGTGATATACTATAAACCAGTTGAAATATCAGTTATTTATTCAGTCATATTGAAAGGAGACTTTGTTGATTGTATTTATATATTTTTCAGCTTCTAGATGAAACCAATTAGAGCCACCAATTCTTGACATTGCCTGCTGGTAGGCCCTGAAAGGAATATTATCTTTTTTATTTCTAACACTTAAAATTCCCAAATGATTATTGATCAGGCAAGATATTGTGAAACTTTGATAAAAATTAAACAAAGATAAAACATCAAAATGTTGAAAGAATTTGCAAAAAATGTAATTCCCTATCATCTCAAATTTGTACAGAACATTTTTTGCATAAAATTTCATAAAATTTGGTAGATGTACAGTTGCATCCAGAGTCATACACTGGCTGAATTCCCACAATATGAACAATATGGCAAAAGAAGAATAACATAAATCAACAAAAAATTGGCATGATCATGTTTGTCATGTGCAGAAAATAATGTTCTTTATTTTAAGTCTTACAACTTGAATTTTTAACATTTAAAATGCTGTTGGGTAAACAAGATTTCTTAAACAAATTTAAATAAAATATTCTGAATTCAAGTAATGACTCATGAAACTTTCAATACTCAGAAAAAACATTTCAGAAGATTTTAAAAATATACATTAAAAATTTATGAAATTGTTTTACTGTTATTATATGCTTATTAATATATCCTGACCAGAAAAAAGACTGTGACACAAGTGATATATTTAAGCATAAATGTCTTATATAGTTTAGACTTTTTCAGCAAGCAACTGAACTTATACAAGATAAGGTAAAGGAAACCTTACTTACCCTATACATTGAAAGATCTATTCGAAGTGAGTTGTGTAGTTGATCTAGCAACTTAACAAACTTTTCTTTCTGAAACAAGAAAGATGAAAGTAAGTTTGTGATATCAGAAAATTCCAAATTAATGAGTTTTTTAACAAAGAAATTTGATAATACAATTGATAATAGTAATTCACAATTCCAGAAATTCATTATAAATTACAGTAATGAAAATTTACAAATATTTTTTAATTATTATTAAAAATCATAGATCGTCTTTAAAAGAATACAAATGTAACTTTCTGTCAATTCGGATCAAAGCTAAAGAGAATGGGACATTTTCTTACAACAAAGACTATTTTAATTCATATTCAGAAATAAATATGAGTTACAATGACACAAAAAAAGTAGGAGATTACGACGAAATAAAGAAAGAGAGAGATTAAAAAGACAAAGAGGATAAAGAAATAGAAAAGGAAGGTGAAAGAAAATATAAATATTAAAACTGAATATAAGGTGGAAAAGATTGCAAAATGGAGATGGCACAAGATTAATGTATTTAAATGAAGCAAACAAATCTGATTTTCAAAACTTATTAAAAATCTGAAGTAACTATTTAAAACTAAATAACAGATTAAAAAATATTACAATAATATTACTTACTCCAAAGTTGGACGCAGCAAATCTATCACTAGCTGACACAGCTGTGGTGGCTGTTGTATGTGCATAAAAGGCATTGATGTTAGCCAGGAGGGTGCTCATCACTGCTGGCACACCGGGACACATATACTTGCATGATAAACATGAAAAATGACTGAAAAATAAAACAAAATTTTAATTTAAACCACTTCATACTTCATTATATTTAATATTTCTTTTCAGTTCCAGACAAATAAACATCACTGGCTATCTGGATCATAACTTTAAAATAATGAATGAAAAAATATGAAAACATTTTTTTTAACAGGATTATTACAACCCAATAAGAATTAATTAGCCAGAGATGTGTTTCAAGGTTTTGAAAAATGAAGGGAATTAGGTAGTATACACAGTGCAAATGTCAGAATTCTTCTTAGCAAATAAATATTTTACATGATGAAAAATTGTTTGTATAAGTGAGTACATATTTACATTTTGTATGTATGTGCTTTTTTAAGCTGATTTTTTTTTTGATCATAGTAATAGGAACATTTGCATGACTGGATAGCAATCTTAGATGGCTAATCCATCCTTGCTGCATTGAAAACAAACATACCTTCCTTCACCACATGGTCAAGAGAAATTCAAAGGAATCTTTATAATTTTTATACCTTTTTTTTTGAAACAGACTTGACATGCAATATCATTTAACTTATTTATTTGAAAGTAAGTATATTTGATTATTTTAGTTTGAGTCCATACATTATTTATATTTAAATTGAGGCCAGCTAAAAATCGTTTTAAACTTTGGTGCTTAAATTTTATGTTGTTGGCTCGAGAAAAAAAGAAAATATCATTTTTATTTATTTGAAGTTAATTATTTTAGTTTAAAATTATTATTTATATTTAAATTGTAAAAAGTAAACTTAAATTTACCCGCACAAAAAGATTTACTTAAGTTTAAAGCCTTAATATTTTTAAATTAAAGTTTAATTCATTTTTGGCATTTTCCCTCTTAAAGTTTGTTCAACATTTTTGATTAACGTTTAAAGAATTATTTATTGATAAAATGCAATTCTTTTTGAGTAATTTGTGTTATTTTAAAAAGCAAAACAAAACAACGTTTAACAAATTTGAACAGAATTTAATTTAGTTTCTTCAAAGACGTAAAGAAAACTATTTTTATTATAAAATGAATTAAAAATGTTTGTTTTTTTTTCATAAATTCAATGTCATTACTTAATTTGATATTTATTTTTGATATCGCTAAAAAAACATTGTTAGTATGAGTGAAAACATAACGTCAATGAAATTAAAGTTTAATTTTCTCAAGTTTTTAACCATGATAAAAAATTAGCATAAGTCAACATTTTTCTATTAAAAGTTTAAGTTTGAATAATAAATTTGAATAAAATTTTAATAGAGAAAGGTTCATTAACATTTCTCTATTAAAACTTTATCCAACATTTCCATTAAAAGTAAAAAAAAAACAAAACAAACGAATTTCTTCGCGCTTTTGTTTCCGAAGTTAAAGAATAAATGATTATTTTTACTACATTTGTTACCAATTGTTGAACTGTTAGTATTTTTTTACTTATTAGAGTTAAAGAAAAAAATAACAATAAATTTATTACATGCAGTTAATGTTAATATTTTAATTATTATTTTTTTTTTTAGAAAGGTCTCCTTTTTTACGCCTTTTGACTACAAAATTTATTTTACAAGACAAGAATAATAATACCATTTTATTTATCATATTTATTTTAATATTTTTCTGATATAGTTGTTAAAAGGACAAAATGCATTATTTTGGTAAATTTTCATTTTAACACCCGAGCGCTAATATCCCTTCAAATTTTTTTCCAAATAGTTTATTTCTGTGCAAATTTAGATATTAAAGTTTTTTTTGATGTTAACGACCCGAAAAAAAATCGGACTTTTTCCTGGTCTTTTCGTCAGCCATTACTGGCTTATTGATAAAAATTAAGTGCTTTCTGTCATACATATTTAATTTATAATTCCTTGTAGTTTAAATTAGGGTTAGGTGTTTTTTTTTTTTTTGGTTAAAATTAAAAAAGTTAACTTTCAAATTAGGATAGGTTTTTTTTTTTTGAATTTGTTGTTTTACATATATTTAAAAGTATTCTTAAATTTTCACTTTAAACCAGCAGTAAATGACCATCAAATGTTAAAATGAAAATTTACCATTATTTTTACTTTTTTTTTTTTTTTTTTTTTAAGCCAAAAAACAGTTATATATATTCCATTTATATAGTTAAAGCGTATTAAAATAACTAAAGGAAAGGCTTCAGTTTTTAAATTTATTTAAATTTTAAATTAATAAAAACTTGAGAAGGAAGTTTTACGCAAAGTTTTTTTTTTTACCATATTTTTGAGAAGGAAGCCCTTTTTTTGCCAGAAGTGATGGATTGGAGGCATAGTCTCAAAAGATTGTGAAAAGCCCTCTCCCCTTCCCAATCTCCTTGCGAGGAGTTTTAGGAACAAAAACGATCTCCTCTTTTTATGTCTGGAGGGGCAGTTTTTTTTTTTTTTTTTTTTTTTATGGCTGACCCTTTGGGAGAGAGCCAAGCAATAGCTTAACATTTAACAAGTACCAGAAATTTAAATACCAACTTCAAATTGAATTTTATAATGTCTAGTTTAATGGCACTATTTTTTGTTTGATTAAAATCAGTTTTATTGTTGATAATTAAACGATTAATAATATTGTGCAAAACTGCAAACCTGACAGTATTCTTCAAACAAAACCATACCCCCCACCATTTTTTTTTTAAAATTAAGAAGTGGATTCTCAAGCTGAAGGCAACTCTCTAAAATTTTTGGTTTTAATTAATTGTGTGTATTTGGGCAGGGTGCGTGGATAAAAGCTGTAATTAAGAGTATAATTAATTTAGCTTGAAAATTTACTTCTAAATTGAAGTAGTAAGAGAAATATTTGTTAAAGATGTTTAATCTACCATTTCAGATACTACTTAATTCCTAGCCATGCCCCGGAAGTGCTGTGTGTTTGCTTGCAAAACAAATTACAGAAGCCAGCAAGACAAAACTATGTGTGGTGAGATTAATAAAATACCAGTTTATCGTTTTCCAAAAAACAAAGACGAGAGAGAACAATGGATAAAATCAGTTCCAAATGCCAATCTAAATGTTACTAACAATACTGTTATTTGTCAACAACATTGGCCTTCAAATTTTGATACCATAAAAGTTAATGGAAAAATACGTCCAAAAAATCCACCATCTGTATGGCCAGGTGTGCCAAGTAGTCAAATACCAACACCCTCAGCTGTTCAAAGGAATATAAAAAAAAACTCCAGTACTGTTAGAAATCAAACTGCTGATGAACTTAATGCTTTTTTAGAATTAGATAAAATTAATTATACAAATTTGAAAGAAAGTCTGCTTAACAGCAAAAAAAACTTTATATGTTCAGTTGTAGCATTTTTGGATGAAAATATTTTAACTGTTCAATCATCAAAATCTATTGATGGTATTCCTCTCTTTATGTTGAAAATTTATAACAATTTGCACTTTGAAACATTTCATTATGGAGTTAAGTGTTATATTAGCAGCCTGTCCAAAAATCGTATAAATACAATTGATATTTGGTCAAAACTGGAAGAAATCATCCGATATTTAAATTCTATGGCTTTTGATCACAAGAAAAATATCCTGAGTCAACAATTTTTAGCAATAGCTCTCAAAATGGTTGGAATAAAATACAGCTCAGATATAGTTGTGCGTGCTTTTGGGTACTATGCAAGATCATGGACATTGTATAATGAATTAAGATATGATTTTCAATTACCCTCATTGGCAACATTAGGAAGGATGACGTCAAAAGTTTCAAAACTTAATGAAAAATCTTTTTTGTTATCTATATTTAATACTCTTAATACCAGTCAAAAAGGGTGCATAATTCTCCATGTTGAAGTATATATCAAAAAGATGTTGCTATATCATGGCAAACAACTATTTGGTAAATCAGTTGACAATCCATCTGTACTTGCTCAAACAGTACTTGGTATAATGTTGATATGTCTCAATGGGGTCCAAATTTTCTTACAAAATTGATTCCAATTTCAAAATTAACATCCGCCTTTTTATTTGAACAAATTGAGTTAACGGTCCAAGCCATCACATCTGTACCAGCTGATGTAAAGGCTATTATATGTGATGGCAACCGTAAATCAAGCTTTTTTTAAATTATATCCTACACTTCCTGAAAACCTTGGTTAACTGAAGATAATAAACATTTGCTTTTTGATTATGTTCATCTGTTGAAAAATATTCGCAATTTGTGGCTGACAAAAACAAAAACAGGAGAACTAATCTTTGATGATGATGGAGTAAGTCCAGTTGCAAAATGGACACATCTTAAACAGTTATATCGTTTTGAATCTGAAAGACTAGTCAAACTTTCAGATTTAAATGAAATTTCCATTGCTCCAAAGCCAATAGAAAGACAACGGGTTTCTACTTGCCTCAGAGTGTTTTTTGAAAAAACATATAATGCACTTCTCACTCAGTCTGAAATAAGTGCAGGTAAGAATGATACTGCCCTCTTCATAAACAAGGTTTTGACATGGTGGAAAATTTTAAATGTTAAATTCCTTCAAATTGATAAATTACATAATGATCCTCTACAAGCTGAAATCAAATCTCCAAATGACACCCGACTTGATTTTATCATTGAATTTGGTAAAATGGCTCTTAATATGGCTGGCAGTCAAGGTAATCATAAAAAACAATTATCCCAAAACACTGCTACTGCCATACATCATATTTGCAATGGAATTGTTAGTCTATGTCGACACCTTTTAGCTACAAGTCATAAATATGTACTACTTGGGCAATTTTCAACTGATCGATTAGAAAAAGAATTTGGTAAACTTTGCCAAGGATCAGGTGGAACCTATTTTATAAATGTTCAACAATGTCTTGAAAAGCTGCATATTAAGCAGACATCTTTACTTTTAAATCAAAATGAAAATATTGATGAATTTGATGTTAATCCAGGTCACCAATGTACATCTTGTGATTATAAACTTTGTGAGGAAGGTTCAGAAATATTTGACAATCTGGAAAATTTAGAACCATCTCTTTCCAATGAAATAAAAATGGCTCTTGTGTACATAGCTGGATATATTACAAGAAATGATAATCAACCCAGTGAATGTGAAACCCATTTTTATTATGAAAAGTATGGAAAATATACCAATTTAATTGACCGTGGAAAACTAAAAGTTCCTTCTGACCACACTTGTCAATGGTTATTTTTTGTTTCATCCTTTTCCATACAATAAAGGAAAAGGTTTGCTATAAATCATTAAGTAACATTTTTATGCTTATTTCTGAGTTTCATTTTTTTCAACATGGAGAAAAAAGCATGCTTCTATTTTTGCAAATATAGTTTTGAAAAATTTTTGCAAACATGGCACACCTAGATCAGAAAAAGAACCAGCTCTAAAAGTTTTGAAACTTTCCTAGAATGATTTTGTTTTATTTGTCTATATTTCTGCAATGATTGATTGTTATATACACACTTTGGCTGATGTCTTCCAGCCTTCTTGGGTTCTGTTTGTCAAACCCAGTAACTGTAATGTAAATTTAAACCAAAGTCTTTATTCACTCACAGGAATAGATTGAATAAAGGATTCAGTGACACCTGTAAATAATATAAATTTCTGATTCAATATATCTTTTACCAGAAATCATAATTACCCATTTGTGTTGTTTAATAATTATCAGTGTTCATAGCAAAAATATTATCATAATTTTCATTTATTTAAAGTCTTTTTTCAAAACATCCTATTATCCTCAGGTGACTTGGCCTGAATAAAAATGTTATTCTAAGTATTTCATAAAGTGGTTGACTTCAAGATTTTATTCTTCTAAAAAACTGAAAATACTTTAATTCAATTTATTAAAAAACAATCTAACAGTCACTGAAGTCACATCTAACTTTGATAAGTCGGTCATTACATTTACTGAATTCTAATTATTTTATCTTATAATTTACTTTATTATACATTTCTAAGTTATATTTATTTTGAAATGTAATTCTGAATTCAGATACAGAAAAATGATCCAAATAGTTTCTGTGAGATGCCTGAATGTCTTAGATGAAGTATTTGCATCATTATTAATTTAAAACCAGTTGATGTTTAATTTTAATGTTACTTTTATAACCCCATTGCTCAGGTCTCTTTATATTTTATAACTGTTATGTAATCAACATAGACTGAAAATAAAGAACCTCTAACTTGAGCTGTTATTCCAAATTCTTAGCAGCATGTCTGACATTAACCAATTTGACCACAGGAACCTTTCAGCGATGTTCAAATTTGGTCATATAGCTTTATCTACTTGTGGATCTCAGAGGTTAAATTGATAAGATCAGAGATTACATCTTTATTTCCAATCTATTCTGCTTATTTAAGAGTTATAAAATACGAAATGATCTGACAGATGAAATAAACAAAACAACAAAAAAAATCAGATGAAAGATAAACTACAGTAAAATGTCAAATGTATTGCTAGTAATATTTTTTTTCAAAAATGTATTGTTGGTAATATTTTTACTACAAAAATTTATTATAATTTCATAGTGTTTTGACCCCAGTTTGTGGGTGACTATTTGCCCAGAGATGGGATGGTAACAGGCACTACCACCCTGAGTCAGGGTGGACCTAAGAACAGCAATTAAGAGGTGGTTCCACACTCCTCAAAGCCTCTCAATCAGAGACATTGTTGCCGGATATAGTTTATAGTCATACCCAGGATGGTTTTCCTTAATCATTTTGAACTGTTAAAAAATTTTACTATTGGACTTGCTTTTCTTGTGTCAAATGTTTAAACTGATTTCTATTGTACAAAGGTTTTTAAATGCAGCAATTACTCAAGTGTGATTTTTTAAAATAAATGCAATCAGTTTGTATGACAAACTTAATAATATTAAAAGACTATTAAACTATTGAAATTACAGAATAGAATGGTGCTCATGACATAGGACCTTATTACAGTTAAGAGCTATTAAAAGCAGATGATTATAAAATGATTTCAATTTTCTTTCCATTTCAATATGAGAAAGGAATAAAGTTATTTTTATTTCAAAATTTAAGAAAAAAAATTAATTACTATTTTGGAGTGGCCATGGACAAAATGGCAGTGTGGTCTGTTGATCGTAAAAACGCAGAAATAGAGGAAAGCAGAGATTGGGAACAATTTTCTTTCCCAATTCTTGAGTGGTCTGGTCGATCAAGAATTCACAACATGGGACAAGCTGATAAAGAAATATTAATCACTGAAAATCCTGTTTGTTTCCATTACGCCATCTGGAAGTTGGATTCACACCAGCCCTAGGAGTGGGCTGAGGTGAGCTGCTGAGAAAGTGGGAAAAGGAAGAAAGAGATTAGCACCACCTGTATTGAGTGATAGTGTGAGATGTGACATGGAGAGAATTGGAGTTATGGGGCAGCTTGATTCCTCTGACCATTCTCAAAAAGAGGCTCGAAATTTGGAAAACCACTTGAGTAATTATATTCTGAGAATATGGAATTTTAGAAAAAGGTTGATGCTAAGGGTGAAAGACAACTAAACTCAGAACCTATTCAATCCCACCCCTGCCAGATGCAGGACTCCATATAAGTTGGAGGTTCAGACAACTTAGGGAGTACCCACACTATTGTTACTCAAATCTATATTGTTTGCCGAGACCTCCTGACCAAGACTTTGTGTCGGCCTTTAAGACCTGAACTTAGAAATTTAAGTTACTACTAAAACAAGATACAGAGTCAAAAGGGGATCCCAGTATCATTTGATTATGACAACAATGTAGTTGCATTTTTAACCTGAGTTAATTCTTCATTCCAAAGGATTCTTTCTTTTTGTGTAGCTCCCAGCTGTTGAACCACCTTCTCTTCAGTTTGCTACATCAGCAATCTTCTCGCCCTCTGTGATCAAAAAAACACATGGCAGAAGATTGAATGATCATGAACAAACAGATGCTAGCTAAGTTGAGAGGAACTGTGCCTACTATTACGATGCCAGAGACAAATGAGTCATGTGTTAATGAGTGAAGAGTCAGCTGGATGGTAATCACAGTGACCTGAAGGAAATGAGGACCAAAGTGGGACATAGGGCTACATTAACAGTAGCTGTTGACTAGGACCAACCTGTGGGATGACATTATATCGTTACCATTGACGAGGATTGACAAGTGAGGTTACACATCTTTTCTCCACAGCTTATCTTAATAAAACAAGTAAATGATGGTAGTTTATAAATATATTTTACAGTGATTTAAACTATAAAGTGTGTGAGTGAAAGAGAGAGAGAGAGTTTTTCTTACGTCATGGCTTGATATATAGACTCGATTCCATAGCGCATTGCAAATTCATCCACAATCTCCTGGGATGGTTCATCATAATACACTTTCCAAGCATCGTCCTACATTTGGAAAATAAAAATAAAATTATGTATTTTCAATTATTTTTAAAGTAAATTTTGGTCAAGTTTTTTCCATTCAGTTCTAACTAGAATTGATGGTAGGTGCCAAGTTATTTAAAATCCATAATATCCAAGTAGAACAAAAATGTATAAAGTATTAAATGCATAAGCATTGTATGTTTGCACATGACTATAAATTTTTTAATTAATACTCTTACCCAAACTGCTGTTTATTCACTGATATAATTTACAATCAGACTATATTATATGCCTTTACTAAATTTTAAAAAAAAAAAAAAAAAAAAAGTAAAAAAGCAGATTTTATAGGTATATAAATTACGTTACTTACTCCCTTTGCATCGGGTAATTTGACGCTTCCACCGCTTTGTTCACATAAATAATGGAAAAGGTTCTGTAAAAAACAAAGGAATTACACAAAGTATAGAACATAAAATTGAAATACAAAACTAAAAAGAAACACTTGCTGAAAAATGCAGATGGTGTATGTACATATTTTCTGATTGAATTAAACTTTCATTTTGCACATCATATATAACTGTTTTTCAGAAGGATCTTTTTGCATTGAATTATATATTGTATAGTAGATAATATTTTTCTTCACTTAATAATAAAATTTATCTATCTTCAAGACTTGGGAGATCACAGCAAGGTTTATCTTTTTTGCTATCTTGCCTAATCTCTGTTCTGTCAACCATTTACACAAACTTGTAAGGTAGGTTATTGGCTGCTTTCCTCTGTCCTCCTTGCCTTCAATATGTTCTGTGAGTGTTAAATTTTCCAAGCCCCCTTTCCTCATTATGTGTCCTAGAAATTTCAACTGCTTTTTTTGTTTTCTTTTTCTCTAAAACATTGTTGTTGCTGACAGTCTATGGTATTCTCAGCATCCTTCTGTAGAACAAAATTTGTTTCCTCAAGTCTCCTTCATCTCTAAGGAGATCTCCCAGCATTCACTGTCATATAAGAGGGCTGATATTACATAAGAATACAGTACTTTTCTTTGTTTCTAACAAAATTTTTCTGTTTCTTTGCTTAGCTTTTGGAAGGCATCTTACACTATTCAAATGCACTGTTGGATTTCAATGTTGCATTTTCCTTCTTCTGTTAAAACACTTCCTAGATAATTTTCTTTGTTTTTAATTAATTCGCCCTAAGCAAGGCAAAAATGCTACTAAGATTCAAGGGACTACTGGGAGTGAAAGAGAATGAAAATTTTTTAGAAGGAACGGAAGCCTGATCCTAAACAGTAGACAAGGGATAAAAATATACTCCTTTACAAAAGACTGGAGAGGAATGTGAACAGGATAATTGGCCAACCTATCTACTCCTTTTGAGGAGAAAAAATAATTAGTAAATAAAATTTCAGAGTTCAGATGCAGACACTGGAAGTATAGAGCTGAAGTAGACTTTAGAAGGAACCAGAAACACAATCCTAAACAGGAAACAAAGGATAAACCTCTACTTCTGTTCAAAAGACCAGGGAGGAGTGTGAACCAAATGACAAGTGAACCTATAAATTTTTACACTGGCATAATTTTGTTGTCACCAATTTGTAGTTTCATCTTAGGCTGTTACTTCTGCCGATAACCATACATTTTATCTTACAACTGATGTTTCGTTTTTTCTTCTCACTTTTCTTTACTACTTCTTCTAGGAATTCCTGTAGTTTCCTTTCTATATCTGCTACTAATACTGTGTATCTAATGTTGTTAAGATTGTGACCATCAATAATGAATCCTGGTAGGAAGTCAAATTCTCTCAGAATCACCTCACTGTAAAGTTTGAGTAAGTCTGGTGAGAAGACACATCCTTGTCTTACACCCATTTCTATTTTTGTATTTTTACTGGATTCATTTTCTATTAATATTCTGGTTGTTTGCTTCCAGTATAGGTTCTGGATTGTTCTAATGCATCTTTCCCAAATAAATCAAGTTTACCTAACAGTTCAAAACAATACTTTGTGATGCACTTTCTCAAACATTTTTGCATAATCATATAAAACATAGGTATACATTCTTTTGCACTTTTATTGCAATTTCTGTTATCATTCTAAGGATAAATGTTGCATTCCTTGCTCCAGTGTCTTTAATGAAATTTCACTGTTCTATTTCAGGTCTAAATCTGCTACATGCTTATTTCATCAGAATTTGGATAAGTTTTGTTATGTGACTCATGAGGCTGATTGTCTGATGGAGTTTGTTTTTGTTTGCATTTGGTTTCTTAGGCATCACTATGGAAATGGATCTACTTAGATTTTCCAGTATATCACCATTGCCGTATGTTTTATTTATTATGACCATAATTTTGTCAATGTCAAAATAATCTAATGCTGTCAGTAACTTTATTACAATTCCATCTGATCCTGCTGCTTTGTTCCTGTTCCATTTGGCTAATGCTGATTTCATTTCAGACTTTAATATTTCTGATCCTTTGATATTTTTGCTTATTGTGGATTCTCCACTCTCATTGCGGAAGAGTTCTCTGATGTATTCATTCCAACTTTGAAGTATATTTTATTTCTCTATTATCAGCATTCCTACTTTTGATTTTATGCATCCTGTTCATATTTGGAAGTAACTTCGTACTGCAGTTTTGTTATAAAGTTGCATTTGTCTATGCTCCCCCACTTCAACCTCCACACAAGACAGAAAAAAAAGTGAATATTGAATATGAATTTCATTTTTTAACATTTAAGTTTCTGATTTGAGTCCCAAACAATAGATTATATGATCAAGGAATCAAGATGCTTGACAACAAACATGTTCAGTTCACAATTATTCTCTTTTTCTGTTGATTTGACAAGAGAAATAACATTAGTATTACTTTTGTAAAAAGAACTGAAATTTTGCTGTTGAGGTTAATTTAGAAACAGATAATTAGGTATTTGGGTAGGTCATTCTACACTCAAAAAAATATTTGGCTGCAATTGACAAAGTGAAGAAAAATGCAGAAGTGGGTTGCCTATGTTTTAACACTTGACACAATTTGCTTGCTCATTTCAAAAATGATTTTCTGTGCTTACTTATAAAATTATATTTCAACAGAGTTGTGAGATTTAAAAATTCATGATTCAAAATGACCATTTATTTTATTCCAAGCTGATATACAAGAATATCTGTAGTAATTATTAATAAAGATGAAAATAATTTATTGAAAAAAAAAATAAAAAAAATGTTGGTCCCAAAACTCAAATTACAGAAGGAATATCAATCAAGTAATATTAGTTTTTCTGCATACTAATAAATAGCATTAGAACCAATAACTGATGTTATAGCAAACATTTTTTTCTGTCATCACCCATAAATTTCAGAACTAGACTGTATACATATTCAAATTAATAAAGTATAATAAAAGTTAAAAAAAAAAAAAATGTACAGGTCTACTCACCTCATGAAGGCAAGTGTATTGTACGTGGTAGGGAGCAACTTTTTCTTCTCCCTTGATTTCCACGCTAATGTGTAAACGAATAGCACCAGACACAGCAGACTTATCAGTTCTTTTTTCTGAAATAGAATCAATATGACATTTTATTGAACATTATATATCTTTAGGAAATTGACTGGTTTAAATATTGTAGCTGTTGTAAGATATTATCAAGATATTTTTAGCATAGTACAAATACATTTTAACTTGTTGGTGTCTTTATAAACAAATCAATTATTGGTATTATCTAATGATTCCTGTATTTTTATATTAAGCCAAAATTATTAAGTTCTCTTCAACAAGATAATTATTATTTTGAAATATTTAAAGAATAACCTTTCTTTTAAGAAATAAAAATAAGTATGATTAGTGAACAAATGGAATGTTTCAATCTGTTTACTTCAATTATAGCATGAATATAAAAATATATCAATAAAGTAATAGTAATAAATTTTGAAAACAATCATAATAGAAATTATATATATATATATATATATATATAAATACACTGAAATTAGTTTCCAAAACTCTACACTAATCATTTTTCCATCTCTTAAAATAAAATTTAATTTAAAATATTAATTTCTAATTATTAAGAGCATATTCTTAAGTTTTCTCTTTATTGTATTCTTGCAGTGTCACTTAATTTCAATCTTTTTTAGTAGTGATCTGCAAAAAATACTGAGGCCATACTTGAGTGTGTGAGTATTATATATATATATATATATATATATATATATATATATATATATATATATATACACATTTAAATTTAAATAATAAAAGGATATGTTTAATATGGCAATTAAAAATTACACAAAATGAAGACATGTACAGATCTAATTTAATCTTTGAGAGAGTGAAGATGTTAAAAACATTTTTAATTTCAGACATTTCTATAATCAAATTTTGAGTCTGAAAGCTTTAGTTAAATAACTGTGTTTTTATTGAATCTACATTAGATTGGACAGAAACACATGTCTATTTTGATGTGTCTTCATGTTCCAGCCACTGCAAAAATATAAAAGCATGCAAAATATCTACACAAATATACTAACATTAAAATATAAACAATCACAAACCGCAACAATAGGAAAGAAAAAATTATTTAATTCTGTTGCAATTAATATTTTCTCTATGATAGTGAATGGCTTATTTCTTACCTAAATTATACCAAACATCCATCTCTCCACTGAGTGTTCGAACTTCAATGATTGTCTGCCCCAAGAAATCATCTGATTCCCTGGTCAGCTTTTGCCTCAATTTTGATTTAAGATCATTATCTTCATCCCTAAAGATCAAATCAAAATCAAAATTATATCTCTGTAACCAATCTATTGTTACAATGCTTTCAAGAAATCAATATCTTTTAAGAAAATATCTTAGAAGTATAAAGAAAAAGGAAAAAATAAAAATAATAGAAAGAATAAAAAAGGGAATGCAACAAAGACAATTAATAAATAAAGGGAATGATATTGATTTCAATAAATATTTAATTAGCTTTAAATGTTTTCAAATTCACTATAAATAAATGGAACTTTTGTATTTTAACTGTTAAAAATTTAATTAATTTTTTTGTCATAAATACTATTTTAAAATTGACAACTACAAAAATAAACTTTCATTTATAGTGTTGCAAAAAAAAAATGAAAAGGTGAATAATATTAGAAAATATATATTTACCAAACTCTGACCTTGATTCTGTCTGAAGAATTATGGCATTCACTAAAATTAAAGAACATAGTATTAGATTTGGAAGATAAAATCAGCATATATCTTTACTTTTAGAATTTTTGCTGTGAGTCTAAATGAAACTTTCACAGTAAAAAATTCATAATATATAGACAGCAAAAGTCTGTAGCAGCAGTTGACAATGTTCAAAGAAAGATGGTCTTTGACAAGACCCACAAACTTCCCTCACTCAAAGTCCTATTTTTAACCATTGATCTGAGAAAGTATTTGTATACAATTAACATTTTAGCTATAACTGAACAGGTTTGGTGCCAGGTATGACATCCATATGAAAATCTAAATCTGATGAGGCTGTTTAGGAACATGACTTAACTTTTTAGGTTAATGTCTTGGTTTTGTAACACTTTGCAGTGTTGGGAAAACTACTACTAGTGCAGCCAATTCTGTGTATAATTTCCTAATCTCCTATACTAAATTTGTTAAAACTGATCCATACACTGAGTGTTTATGATTTACTAATTCCACATCTGATTTTTTCATGATGGATTCAGTGTAGGTGCCATCACTGCTTTCATTCCAATTTCAGATAATAGTTTCAGTTTTGGAAAGGTTTATCTTTAGTCCTATTTCTTGGGACACATGGTAGAGGATGCTGATTTTCTGTTCAAGATCATTTTTATCCCAACTATGAACACCTATGTCATCAGCATAGCTCCTCCCTAAGCATCATCAAAACATTGACCTTGAAAGGGAAAGCAGGATCACTGTCTTCTGTTGGTAGACTTGTTTGGGATGTGGTATATAATGCTTAAATGATCAGTATCCATCTGTGCTTGTAAATGCACAGGGAAGAGATTAGATAGATTGGGGCTCTTATTTCCTCCTTGTTGTACTCCACATGTGGTTTGAAATGGTTCTGTATTGAGGTCCTTGTCAGACGTAAGATTTTGCCAACTGATAAAGTTCCTCTGTTAGATTGATGCATTCAGTAAATTTGGAACTTGGAAGGCAGTTTATAAAGGACAAGAATAGGAAATCTCTATTGATGTGGTCATACACTGCTGTAAAGTCAACATAGCAGGTATACAATTTTATGGAAGTGTTTAATCACATATATGCCATCATTACATCCCTTACCAGAATGAAAACCAAACTGGGTTATGATTTTCATAAAATGATGAGAGCCTAGTTAATAAAATATTCAATAATACTTTCCCCATAATAGAACCAACTGAGAAACCTCTGTATGTGTGAGGGTCTTGATGACTACCTTTTTCTTTTATAGTGCATTAATGCATGATAAATCCCACTTTTTGGGGATGCATTTCTGATTCCAGACTTTCTTCATAAAATTGAGAAACCTTTTATTGAATTCAAGGACAATGTAAGCTATTTTCAAAAGTTTAGCCTCAATGTCAAGTGATGTTTTATTATTCTTTAGTTTTTCTAGCTTTTTTGTGATGACTTACCTTGGAGCTCGAAAATGTGTGTGAACATGTCTTGCTTGCATGATAAATCCGAGAGAGAACATGGCCAGCTGTCGAAGACGCGATTATCTGTATGGTCTCATCAAAACAAGATTGTACCAGTACACATGCAATTTCAGCAGTGTCGGACTAGCATAAAAGGCGAGGCGCCAGTGGCACGGCAGACGGCGAAAGTCATTTGGCGGACTTTGTGAAACAGAGTCGGACGTCTTGAATAGACTGGCAGACCAAGAGGCGGTTGAAGTAGGCGTGTCTGATTTGGGTTTCCGTTTCGACTGCCGGTGTAATGTCCGAGAAAAGGAGTCTCGCAATTCGTTTCTTTGAGGCGATCGACGCGAAGAAGAACAACAGCTGGTTTGCCGGCGAACCCTCTCGTCACTTTTTTGTTTTTTCTCTCTCTTCTTTTTTCTACATTTTTCATTTCCTCATTAGTAGTTTCATTATTATGTTTGGAGACAGACTTTGTAATGGTTGGATGAATATCAGTATATGTTTCATTTCTTTTAGTGTGGTCAGTGTTGAAATGTGATTCAAAGTTTTTTGAGACTAGGGCATTTCTTCTGTGTTGGTTTGGATTCTATAATATTATTGGGATTTTTGCTTTCTTCCATATTTTAATACATTTTCTATGTTGCGTGGCTTCATTAATTTTGTTTCCAATTTTTTTGAGATATTGGTTTCTCAAAGACTTAACTAGAGTTTTTATTTCCTTTGTTAATTATTTACTATTTTCTCTATTATTTTACTTCCTTTTCTATTTGCTTCTTTCTCATATCAATTTTTTCAACTCTAGAGTGTTGTTCCATGGGACTACTTTTTTTTTCGTTCTAGATATTCTTGGAATGGTCTCATGCACTTAAGTTGTTGTTATAATAAACAATAAACAATGAAGATTACAATAATACTCAATATAACAATAACACCGAGAAGAATATTAAATCTATGGCAGCAAGGTCTCATTATTTTAATGTTGAAATTGCTACATAAGTCCCATGTTAACAGTTTCTTCTCTCACACTACTTGCCTGTGGAACTCTCTTCTGGCATCTTGCTTTCCTGTCTTCAAGTATTTAGATGTAACATCAATTGTCTTCATCAATAACATTTTTTGTCTACTTGAATCCTTAACTTTTATTGTCCTCTCACCTCAATTTTTTTTCTCAGATTTTTTTTCACTCTCAGTAATCCCTTGTGTCTTGGCAGCTTTATCACCTTGCTTTGGGTGAAATGAGTAAAAAAAACAAAAAAAAACTATCCTAACAGATAGTTATCATTTGAATACAACCAATAAAAAAAATAGTTTGAAGAGAAATACTACAATGGACTTACAAATAGAATTTTTCAGTCCAAACAGGATTTAGGTCTTGAGGCACTGTCTTTGTTCGCTTTTTCACTTTCCCCACCTGTACTGTGACATAAGGGTCACTAGTTCCAGTTTTATCTTTACCTATAAGGCCCTGAGCAGAAATGACTGTAAAAGAGAATGAAAATATAATTTAAAATGTTTTAAAAGAAGGTTAATTTATCAAACACACAATGGAGAAGATGAAAGATGAAATTAAAAATACTGTATCAAAAATATTAATACATCAATATCATTCAGAATATTCTTAATTTAAGATCCCAGAATTTTTTAATAACTAAAGAAATTTAAATAATTTTGTAATATTTTTCAAGTGAATTATTTTGGTTGTCTAATAAGTTTTATTATTTTAACTTTTAATTTTTTTAAATATGTTAATATAGAAAAAGTCATTTTAGTATTATGAGAAAATAAAAGTTGAATACAGACAAGAGGAAAAGGCAATATAGATTTTAGTCAATACATTGGGACCTCATTAGCTGTGATTGATCAGTTCTATGTGGATAATAGAAAGCAATATATATAAGGATAGGGTATCAGTTTACAGGTGAATAATTTTGATGCAATGTATTTCTGTCAATTGGAACACATTTTCTGTTCCACTCCACAAGAAAGTGCAAAGCAAGCCCTGATTGAAAGTGTCACTTGAATTTGAAAATAATGAAAATATAGTGAGAGAGAAACTATGGGTTACATCACAGTATTATTAAAACCTAAATGTAGCAATAATAACTTTTGAAACCATCTGTCAAGATTAGCAGTTAATAGCTCAGAACATATTAGGAATGTGTGTTGCACAAAGGTCTCACAGTGACCATTAAGTAAATACCTTATGCAAAAGAAATTGATTTCTCCATCTTAGAGATATGTAAAAAAAAACATGGCAGATGAGCTAAGATGGAAAGTGGAACAAGCAAAAGAACAAGTAATTTGGCTTTGAAGATTGCAGAGAGAGAGAGTCACTTTACTAGCAGATCAGGGTAACATCAGTCATAATGGACAGGTCAAAATTCTCAGATAATCTAATCAAGGACAGCATTGAAAGTGAAACAAAAATAAGATCATAATTTAGCAATAGAAAAAATCCTGTTCCATACAAGAAAAGAGAAAGAAAAAGAATACTTTTTTTAATAACAAATATGGACAAATCATGTCTGTGAAAGTTGCCAGCTATGCCTCAATGTTGAGATAAGCAGAGGGGTGGTAGGAGAGTCAGAGTTCTCACTGGTTGAAGGGAAAAGCTGATTTGTTGGTCTGAGATGTCAGAAATGACAAAAATAGGTCTCCAAGTATCACCTATCTATATACCCACTCAGACTGTGCAAGTGAATTCCTGAATAAACATCTCATATATTGGAAACAGAGTGTGTGTGTCTTCATTTCCTACCATGGCATTTATATTCATCCTTTGTTTCCTTGTAAGCATGCAATGTGCCTTCCACAATTTTTGGCACACACCATCACAAATGAGAACAGTGACATAATGCAGAGTTTCATTTCTGGTTGGTGATAAGTCGAGAGAGAAGACCCCCAATATATGTTTACAGATATAAACAGGAAAAAAACTTGGTAACCAGTAAGTTGCATTTTTTTTCACCATTTGCATGGAATACTTTGAGAATTAAACTCTCCAAATGCTATTTCCTGCCTGATCCAGACATGAAAATGATACCTTCATATCTTACCTCTACCAGAAGGATATGTAAATGCTGTTAAATCATATGAACACCATTAGACTATCAGAGTTTGCCATGAAAAAGAAAGAACATGCTTTTAATATGTGCAACAGACTTGCACAGAATACAAGTTTAAGACATCCATGTGTAGGAAGCCAACATATGACATTTTGAATGCAAAAGAACAGAACATAAAAGTGTGCTTTGTTAAAATGATCCAAAGAATTTGTGGCTCATACTTCAAAATTACAGTATGCAATCTTCTCAGACAGGTCAAACTAGCATTGAGCTTGTTTATAACAATCTCCTGCAGTTGTGATTAGGAGTGTGCTCCAAAGATTTAGACATCAAGAATTGTAACTTGAGATGAAAACAACAAAATCAAATATAAGGAATATATATCATCATTCTATTAGAGAGCCACACTAAAAGCAACATGGAGAATTTTAGAAAAAAAGTGAATGTATCTAAATGTGGAGAATTAAACTATACCTGGAGGGCAAGTTTCAGAATAATATTTAGCCTTTAAGAAAATATTAGTAGAAATATAATGAAAACAATATCAATGAGGATACAAGTTCAAATAAATCATGGAAAAACTGTCTTCAAATAAACGAATCTCTTTAAGAAAACTACTGATTATTATTAGGTAGAGATAAAACATTAAAAATTTAATTGATAAACAAAAGTGGTACTATGATTAAGCAGAATGTAAAACAATATTTGACATGACTATGATGATTATTAAAATAAGTAAAAATATGTTTTGTCTCCTCTTGTAAAAGCCAAAGTTCTTTAATCACATTTGGTTATATTTTTCAATTAAAAGATTAATAAACTTATAGAGAAAATGAAATTGTAAAGAAAAATATCAACAATGGTGTACAGATTAATACTGTTATTTATTTGCTAATTAAATGTTCTATTTTCAATACTATACATTTTTAAGTTATACAATAAGCTATTTTTTTATTTTAAGGATAGAAAAAAGTAGTAAAAATTATATATTCTATTGTCTCATAGCAATCAAATATGGGCAAAATCCTTATACAAAGAAATACATACAACATACAGATCACTGAAACATCAGTCAAAATATCCATGATAGATGTATAAAAGAATGCCATTCATCCCCAAAACCCATATAAATGCAATCTGGATTAACAGTTAAGACATTCAAAGATGTGAGCAAAAGACTATATTTGAAGTACACAGGGTTTATATTTGCAAAAAGGCTAAAATAAAAGCATTTAAAAAACTATTAAAATTGAGACTTTAATTTATTGAAAGTAATTGTTTCTTTTATTTCTGTATTTTCCGTAATAATATAGAAAATACAAAACGTTTTAATAAAAAAGTACAAACGATAATATCCTAATCAATTGTATCATAAGAGTTAACCAGAACCATAGTTATCATAGTAAAATTTAACATATTTTTCTTCAGAAATTGATTTCAAAGTATGTAATGTTTTAAATGCAAAACTTCTGAAGTACAATGGATTAATATTTCTTTTTTAATTCCATATGAAATTGAAATTAAATCTTATTTATTCACATTCTAAATTATAATTAATTTTCCTTTTGAAAAAGCAAGTAATAATCTATACAAAGTAAAAGTTGTTCAAAAAATCATAGGGTTGGAATGGAAATTCAGAATTGGATGTCATTTCCAGCATTCAAGTTGGATTCCAACATGCAGTAAAAAGCAAGCAGACAGAAAAATGTCTCAAGAGCAAATTTAGAAAAGTATATGTCTTATATGTTTTAAACAAGAAATTATCAGGATTTACAAAATTTTAAATTTATCTTTGTGACAATTATCAATCAGAATATCTTGAGTTCTTGTCAGATACCAGTTTTAATTGATAAATTAGTGACAATAAAATGTCCACTTCATGCCAATAGTGGTCAATAACTAAAGAATGAATTATGAGGAAGGAGGGAAGGAATCAGCAAAGAGTAATTGACAGGATTTTTTTAAAAAATTATCTTTATTCCTTATTTTTGTGTGCTATATTCAGTTTTTATTTGTTACTTTGTCTTATTTTCAGCAAATATTTTTTAAATTTAAATCAAAGTTATTTCTATGTATTTAACTTTTTAATTGAAATACTTTTTGTTGGTAGGCGCAGGCAAGAATACAACCAATTTTATTTATCAGCTCCTAAAAAGTTAATAAAATGTCAGTCTTTTTCAAGATATTTGGAAAAGAAAGCACTTTCAAAGTAAATGTATGAACCAGAGAAAGACAGAAATTTCATGTATATATTTTAAACTTAATTCAAATCCTAATGAGAATAATAAAAATCCTGTTTATTTTACTCTGGAATAAAATAATCTTGAATACAAATTACAGGTCTTTTAACATTTGTATAAAAGGTCATGAAAAACTTTAGACTTTAATTGCAAAATAAAGCCCTATAAACTTTTTCAGGGGTCAAAATCTGTAATAACTCAATTTGTAGATTATATAATAAAAACATGATTAGAAGAAATTCTCTTTTAACCTAGAAAAAAAAATGAATCAATGTTTTTATAGAAAATAAAAATTATCCAGTACCTAACATTATTTCATCATTATTCAATGTTTGTAACAAAAAGAAAGAAAAAATACATGAATGAACTATTATAATTACAGAAAATGTTAAATTAGAGAATCAATTTAGATTGTCTAATTTAACATTTTTCTGTAAAAAAAATTATGTCTAAAAATATTAAAGAAAAAGTCTTCATTTTACTTCTGTATATTTACTGTAGTCTATAAATATATTGATTTTTAATTTTCAATTAAAATAATACTTCAAAATTTTTGTTTTACTTTTGAAAGCTGAGATACCTTTTGATTTAAATGTAAATGCTTATGAACAACATGTTAAAATATATCAATTCTTTTTCTGCTTCCTATAGTAATATTAATCTTTCTTCCATTTTAACACTTAGAGCATTCAATTCTATAATTCATGAAGTGGTAAATATATTATGGATTATTATAAGAAAAAAAAGAGAAATAGGAAAATGTAAATAAAAATTATAAAGGAAACAAAAACAAGCTATACTAAAGACATGCATTATAAACTGTACTTTTAGGCTTCTTACAATGATGAATTTCTAAGATGAAAACAGGTTTTCTTCTTTAGATCAAAACAGGTAAGCTATTAAATATTCTTCCTGCCCACTTCAATTGTAAATTAAAATTAATGCCCTAACAAACCTATATTTCAATAAAAACCCATGTATAGTTTCCATAATATGAAGAAAATACAAGCATTTTATTCTTGTTTGCATAATAAACTGTCTAACAAACATTTTATAGATATTAAAGCAATTATTAATTCCATTTCAATACTTTCTAACATCATTGGATAAAACTTCAAAATACAAATTAAGAAAATATTTCATCCTTGACAATAAGAGAAAGTTATTAAATTATATATATATATATATATAATTTAATAACTTTATATATATATATATATATATATATATATATATATAAAAATCAAACATTCATTGAAGTTGGCAGATTCAGTTCCATAAACTGGTGTGGTAGAGTTACTAAAATTCCCATCTGTGCTTGGTGTAAAGTTGGTCATATATGGAGGAAAGTTTGAATTTGACAGAACACAACATGACTAGTTTTGAAATTTGTGGACAAAATTTCCTGTTCACAAAACAGGAAATTGCAAGTGAGAATTTAGGTTATCCACAAATTTTCTAGGAAAGTTTTAATAGTAAATGAAGCTTAAAGTCTCAAATATTGTTTGAATGACACTTAATATAGGACATTCTCAAATCTTTGACAATACTTTTGATAAATATTGAATTACACAGACATTATAACTTTAACAATAGCTTAAAACATGTAAGAATATTTTAAATACTTTCTTTCAGTATGAATTTGATAAGTGGTTATGGTTAAAATCTCAAATAAAAAAGAAAAATAGAGAAAAGTTAGTAATTGATGCTCTTCATGTACAAATAGCACCCCTCCATAATAAAAAAAAGGCAGTAATTATTGTAATAACTGCAAGGATATTATTTATGCTCTGAAAAAAAGTGAGTAGTAATGCCTATAAAATTTTATCTCATGATAAATAGGGTAAAAGTGTTAACTGTTTATCATATTTGGTTAGATTCAGATTCAATAACAGTATTCATAGTAACTGTATGATGATTTTTAATATTTTCTATTTTGGCAAATACTGATTTAAATTCATTTTAATAGATTTTACATAAGGTTCCAATTCTTTAATAGTTGTGCAGAAACTATAACAATAGTAGAAACCCAATGAAATCAAGCCAGAGTGCCAATACCATTAACCCAGTGAACTATATTATTCAGAAGTGAAAGACAGACAAAAATTCCAGCACATTCACTAGGACTAGAGAGAAAAAAAATGGAAGCAGATGTTATTCTTTATATCACATAATGCCCAGGTATGTAGGATTTTATTTGCAATTTGTCAAATTCTGAAGAGTAGTAAGTGTGCATTCATTAGTTAAGCAGAGAAGACTTGGCATATCAGTTGCGGTCAGGTTAAACTGAAAGCCACAAGAAAGGAAATGAAACACAGCAGGCAAACCAAGATGCTGGTACCTTCAATGATGAACACTTTGCCAGTCTTTTTAAAAGGGTCTTCATATTGTTTGCACAGAGCATTTTTTACTTCAGCCATAAGCGATCGAAACTGCACTACATCATACTTTAAAAGATGCCTGGAATATACCATGGAATGGGGAGCAAAAAAAAAAAAAAAAAAAAAAAAAGGAAAAGAAAAACAAAACAAGCAACAAAAATTAACTAAATGAAAAATTCTTTAATACTCATAACAAAACAAACAACAAATTAAAAACTAATTAACAAGGCAGAGTGTCAAATCTTTTGAAGAACAAATTTTTCACAAAGATAATTCTTTTTCTATAAACTTATAGATTTAAAATGTAGCTATTATTTTTCATGTGAACATTGATCTTGTAAAAGACATGATAATTTAAAATCTGTCCTGCTCTAATGATTCAGTGTTATCTCTTTCTTCACTCAATTGTGCTTAATTAATAACTAAAAATGATTTTCTTACATATTTTGAGTTTACTATAAATGCACAAATCAAAAGAGAAAATTAATTTGTTAAAATTATATCCAACTATGAAGGTTAGAAAAAATAAAGTTACAGTTTAGAGAAAAAAATAACTTGATATTTGAAAGATTGATGAGGGATGGTTATTGGAGATAGGATTCTTGAAGGTGTAACAAAAAGAATCTTTTCTTTATGCTATGTGTTAAAATAATATGGAGAAAAAAAAAGACTAATATTTAATTACTACATTTCCTTATTATCTAATAATGAAAATTGATAATGATAGCTTATTGAGGGTTATTAGTAGATGCAAATTGTAGTTTGGTATAATATCAGATACTAAGAATGAAAAAGAAAAACACTTTACTCTCAAATTTCATTTAAATTCAGATTAACTACTTGACACTTATTTAATACACATACTTTTACTTATTCTTAGCATTAGCATTCTAATTTAAAAGCATTACTTTTAAAGCATCAAAAGAAAACTTTTTATGAAATAAAACTAAGTAACAGAGTGAGTATAAAAAACAAAACAAATAGGTATATTGGTCGTTACACTGTCACAAATACACATTTCTCTTAAGGATCTGAAATGTATCTTCAAGTTAGAAAATGATTCTTATTGTCTTTTACAATACTGCAGACTAAAGAGATGTATTCTTGCCAGCATTTCTATGCACTGAAATTGAATAGAGGAATAAAATATATCAGCCATCAAATAATCTATAAATATTCTTACAAAAGAGAACAAAATTAAAAATAAAAACACACAAAGCCAAAGTGAAAGGTAATGCTCCAAAATGTTCTTAGCATGAAATCTCTGATTGCTTTCAACTGTCAGATGAAGTGAATGAATGTTTATCTTATTCTGCTATCATATTGGCAGATAAATTGTATCGTATCCTTGCTGGAAATTTAACAATTTAAAAATCTGCTTAGTTGTGGAAGAAACAAAGGCTGTCAAAAGACATGCAAAATCAGATCTATATGTACAAACATTAGATGAAAGAACAAGTAATAATAATGTGAAATAAATTAACAATTACAATAAAAAGCATGATAATGAGAGTTTTTTTAAATTATTTTTTAGTGAATAATTGGTATTTCTAAAATTGAAATAAAACATGAATGAACAAAATATGGAAAATTGATAAAAACAAACAAATCTGATTAAAAGTGAGATCAATAAAGAAGAATTTCAATAAAAGCATTTGTGTACATTTGAAGACAATCAGAGATTGCACCTTTTGAAATGTGACTCATCGTGAAAAAAATTAAAAAGGAAATCCTGCAAAACTTATTGCATCATCTTTCTCTAAAGAATGTTTAAGTGCCAACCACCAAAAATATATAAAAATAAATAAAATAAAGCGAGCAGTGTGTAAAGAAAGGAAAAACAGAACTTCATTTTCCAAACATCCCAAAAATATTACATATACGCACACACGTGTTTGTGTGTGTGTATGTATGTGTGTGTGTGTGTGTGTGTGTGTGTGTGTGTGTGTGTGCACTTTGTAAGAGTAAACAAAACGCACAAAGAGGACAACATCTAAGAATATGGAGTGACTACCACCAAACTAGGGGATCCAGCACTTACCTGTGATGGCAATTTTAGCTGACCATTTTGAAGTTCCATCTAATACACTCTGCTTAACTGCCTTCATGTGTCCTGAATGGGACTTTTTATCTACACCAAAAACTTGCCTAATCGATGAATGTAAAAAGAAGGTTCAAAATATGAAGTGAATGGGTATAACTAGTGAAAACTGGAAATTTGGGGGAAAAATAGTGATAACCACAATCAGATTTAACAAAAGTTTTGTAAACTCTGAAACTGAATTGTTTTTGGTCAGAATTTGATATTTTTTAATTAGTTGAATTTTTATAAATATTAGCTATGGTTTCTAGTAGCCATTGTTTATATCTAGATAGCATTCTCATCCTTATTGTTTAGTACAAAGTAAATATCTTCAATATTTCAGTGCTTTTTGTAAATTATTATTATTCAAAAACAAAATGCAATTTATTCTACCAGTTCTACAAATGTCATTGCATTATCCATTTTATGCTCTTTTCAAAGGTAATCATTTAGGTCTAATATTGACACTGTAAACAATTTTTTTTTTTAAATTGCTTAAAATGAGCACTGATCAGGTGAAACAATATAAAAATGTGTTAGAGGATTCCAAGCAATATAATGGAAATATGGAATACGGAAATCAGAACGTAGATATTATTCAACTGTAGCCAAAAGGTTAAAATGATAATTTCCCAAATGGTTTTATAGCTATCAACCTTGGTAGAGAGAATTCATTAAGTGCTTATAGTTAAATCCCTGATGTATTTTTTTATTCTTTAAATAGAAAACCCTTGAGAGAAAAAGAAAAAAAAAAACAAGTGATGTTTTTCATTTAAAAATGTACCTAGCAAGTAGGGAAAATAATGCTGTAGTAGTTCCAAGATGAAATAACACAGAACTGTGCAAAGAATTTAATTCTTACAAACCAAGAAGCATGAAATCTATATGAACAGATTGGTCTTCAAAAATAACAAAGGGATTTGAAGTAATAAAAAATAGTAGCTGTTTCCTCCTGCTGACATTTTAAGAAATGGAAAATCTAGTGAATAAGTATATTACCAAAGGGAGCATACAATATTTGATGATAAATCAATTAACTACATAAGAACTCTTAAAAGAAAATTGTGGAGCTATAAAAATAAAAAGGAATAACCAATTTTATTGGCTCTTAAATTTTCCAGTTTAGTTAAGATAAAAGCATAGGAGAAAGTTAAATTAAGGTCTTGACAAAAAAAAAAAAATATCTGGATAATTGAGTCTTTTACTTCATTATTAAATATTTATTCTCAGTAGATAATTCAAAGGTTCAAATTTGATCACTTTCTGTTAAAAAAAAAAAAGAAGTGATCTACACTCATATATTTTACCTTCTGTGTCAAAATTTTTATGAGACTAGGTAAAAGTGTTACGGATGTTTTTTAGGTTTTTCTAAAAATCCCTTACACTATAGACATTAAAAAAAAAATATCATAGATGGTTTTATTGAGTCCTGAGAGACTTGTTCAGTAGAAGATAATCACCTTATGAGCTCAAATATTTCTGGTTTGTTCTTTTCCCGAGTCTTCATTCGATCTTTCATAGCCATGATAATATTATGGGTTTTGTCCTCAGCACCATGTTTTGAACTCTTTTCAGCAGCTCCTACAAAAGTCAGTCAATTGTTTACAAGACAAAAGATTAATGAAATAATCTTGGACAAAAGGTAATCAATTTTTTTGTTTTTATTATGAAAATTTTCAATGAATCATCCATTAAATGTATAATTACGTTATTATCAACTGGTATCAGATTGTTTTGAAATTGCAAATACTAAAAAGTAACATCAAAATTTTGTTATAGACAAAATGTTAACTTATCAGATTTTAAAGAGAATAAAAAGGGCTGAGATTTTTTCTTACAAAAATGTAGTCTATACTGAGATATCAAATGACCTAAAAGTTTTATCAATAATGATAATAATACTAGTCTGGCTATGTAATTTGTTATGTATCAATGTGTATTATTTATCTAACTTTGTACTAGCATAAAACAAAAAGATAGATAAAATAACTCATGAATTCGCAAATCTGCATGGGAAGTAATTGGGCAAGTGACATATAAGCCAATATTATTTTGCTTGAGCAACATGGTAAAATTAACTTGCAAATAATAAGTTAGGCAGATCATACAGATACTACACTGATTAAAAGCAGATGTACCAACCCATATATAAACCAATCTCATTTTTTATGGGTATGATATCTATTTATTTATTGAAAATTTCACAAATGAAAACCTTCTAATAATCCTTCAATAATTAATGTAAATTTAAGGCACTCAAAAAAAAAAAAAAAAAAAAAAGAGATTAAAGAGAAGATAAAAAGAAAAAGATTTCTTACGTTGTAAGCAGTCTGCATTGAGGAGGTCTTTGCATTTTTCATGGCACTTGACGCCGCACTCTGTACATCGTACTCCCTGCCGTGCTAGCCCCCACAACAATCCCTCACATTCAAAGCAATAAGTAGGGGATGTTGCAGTCCATACAACAAAGTTGTGAGGTGTTGTGCTGGATATGGGGTAGATTAAGGCTTGCAGGGTCTTCTTGTAAACATGCATTTTCTACAAAAATTAAACAGTATATATACAGATTATAAAAAAATACCTATGAAACAATGTTTGCTTTTATTATAAGAATTCATCTTTGTTAGAAATTTGTTTTCAAGTTATATCAGTTAAAAAAAAAAACAAAACGAAAAAAGCCAGCAAAAATTCCTAAGTTTATTTAGCAAGCTGTGATCAAATGCTTTTTAGATCACAATCTTGCAAAATTAATATATTGCTCCCTTGAAAGAATTCAACAAATAACTAATTATTTCCTTTTTTCATCATGTAAAATATAAATATCTACTTATTATATGAAATGCTTAAGTTCTTTTTTTGGCATATCATTTTTTTTTTAAAAAAAAGAAAGGTTGATACAAAGTATAGCTTAATTATTAAAAAAAGAAAAAGTTGATTTAATTTTTGTAGGTCTTAGTATTTTTTGTTAGAAAAATAAAATTATATTATTATTTTTAAAAATTTACCGACCTAAAGTTACCAAACCATCTGTGAAAAAAAAAAAAAAAGAAATGACAAATAGTTTGCTGGTTTGGCAGCTGCTATAGGTTCAGTCTCAAACCTTTTTAGTATTTGAGGACATCAACAAAAGATTAAAAGCTAAATATTTTTTTTTTTTTTATCTTAGTCTACTTAGTTAATCACCAGGGCAATTTTGAATGTGCATATTCTATTGACAGACAAAAGTTAAAAATCAACATTTGTAAAAACATTAAAAAAAATTGTGACACATGTAGTCTTGCTCTAATATCTTTATTTCCTTAATAAATGTTAATCATGTTTTTATAAGACAGGTCTGTTGAATGTTTTGATATTTAATCTCATTAAAATAGCTTTGCCTAGTACATAATTCTAGTGAAATGATAAACCTACCAATACAGTGATTACCTAATATCTCAATAGAAAATCAATGCAATCCTGTAATGTCATACATAAGTACAATCAAGTAACGAAGCAATTAAAATGGTTTCACTTACTAATTCTTCATCATTTAAAGACTGCCGAGCAACCATTGCTGATGGAACACCGGCATTTCTCTTTGATGCCACCATTGTCTGTAATAGATCATAGTAATTATCAAGGATCACAAAAGTTAGCAATTGATCATTAGAATCTATAATTTAGGAGTTTGTGTATGACTAAGTCCAGTTTCTCAACCCATATGTGCATGAGTAAAATATGTACCTATATGTAGCTCAATAGAATACATACATACAAATATAACATATGTATACAAATTATTTTTTGGAGTCCAAATGAATTCATGACAAAACAAACAATAATGTTATTGTTTTATTTTTAGTGCTTATAACCACATGTTCATGAAGAGTAAGAAAAAGACATTTCAGTTATCAATTTAGATATAGAAGCTTAATGGTGAAGCAAAGCTAATTATTTGTTTTGTTTTTTTCATCTGATTATTCATGCCAATTTTGACAAATGAAACAGTTTTTTTTTTTATACTTTTACATGTAGTTTGTTTTTAGATTGATATGCAATTTATGCACAGAAAGTAAAAAGAATGTTTCAGGATAATCAAAGCAAAGAGTTCACATTATAGATTGAGAAGAAGAAAAAGACATGTTATGTTTATTTATAAAATCAAGCAGTTTTGAACTTGACTTATACTTTAAAGGAGGACCATTTGAAATGCATAGATATTGTAATCAAACTCATTATTTAAAAAATTAGTCCCAATATTTGAAGAAAGTCTAAAGTCTAGTGATAAAAGATTAGTGTTATATATCTAAATAAACAAAGACACAATAAAGCAAAAGCAACCCAGACATAAATAAGGTAATTGATTTTTAAGTAGATTAAAATATTTCTGGTAAAATTTCATTTTATTTTTAGTACAATACTTACAATCAGTCAGCTATAAATCAATTTAGCTGCTCTCTTTTCATAAAACCTATATATTTATCTATCCTATGGAATTCATTAATTATTATTAAAACTAATTAATGTTAAAAAAAAGTTTATGATCATTTGGCTAACTCAAGCAATAACTGGTAATCCTCCTTAGTTTACACCATAACTACTTGATGATATCTATGTATTAACCCCCTGCCCCCACCGCCAAGAACTTTCTTTGAACTACTGTTCACCAAAACTTGCTCCAATTTGGAAAGTTTGTGCTTTTGGGATTAGCTTCTTATCTATAATACTAGCACCTTGGATGCAGAACAATATATGAATATTTAACATCCCCCCGCCCCCATCAAAAAAGTAGAAAATTACAGGTTGGCAAATACAGTATGCATAATAAACTCAATCACACAATTGTGAGAAACTGTACTTGTTTTAGCATCAATATTGATATCAGATGAATCCCGGCATGATTTTCATAAGTTTTAATATTTCCAAAGAAAACAAAAATAAATCTCTTTAAAGATGACAGCTAATAAGAAAAAAATATATAGATATTGCTGAAAAAAAAAAAAAAAAAAAAAAAATAGGTCTCTTAACAGTCTTCAAGTATATAGACTATAGATTTTGTCAAATGATTTAAAAATATGTTTAATGAATATATTTTGGGATACATACTTTCAACATTCCAAGTGGAACTAGAGAACATATAAGAAATACACCTCCGAATTAATGAAATTAGGGATTTTATTTTAGCAATTTTGGAGCTTCTAACTTTAATTATTGCTATTAGTAACAGCAAGAACATCTTGCAATCTTACACCAGATAGTATGGCAACAAGTGAATGAGTTTTTCAGGTTGCTTTAATATTTCAAGATAATAGAAACAAACATATCTAGTCTTTAGTTTTTCACATCTGATTCCTAATCAATAGTTTTATTTTATAAGAAGCTTTTCTTTTCCCAATATTAATTAAAAAAAAAAGAAGAAAAAAAGACTCATTTTCAGGATTAAAATATTTACAAACTTTGTTAGCGTTATCAATAAACTCTGAAAAGGATGTTTTAAACAAAACAGAGTTTAATACTAAAAACTTAAATGTACAATTTTAAAGTTGTTAATGGATTAAGCCTATATATTGAACAATTCCTAGCTATGAGTTAAATAGCAGGACAACTGGGTTCTTTAGCCTTAGTTGGCAACCAGTCTACTGCAGAAAGAAATAGCAAGCTACTGTGGGAAAGATACATGATTGCCCAAGCATTTATCACGTGTGGCACTTAACTGATTGACTGAACAATTGCCTTAATTTAGTTGCAGTCTTGTTTTATTAAATATTTCAATTTTCATAATCAATTTTAATCAATATAGTGCTTTAAGACCTTTATATATTTCCTATGCTACCTGAAATATTGAATATCTTAAAGTGAATTATTTTAATGAAAGAAAAAAAATAGTTACAAAATATGCAAATTAAAAAAAAAAAAACTAATTTTGGAAGAATAAGCATAAAATTTTAATACAGAAAAGACACAGGACAAGAGGTCCTTTATCAAAGGCACATGTATGGACAATGATCTAATAGCATCAAATAAATCAGGAAGTAACTATGGAAATAATATCTATATTGGAAGTTAGATATTCCAGCAGCTGAAATAAATTAAGAGCCCTAAGGGAGATAAATCGTTTATTGTGATTAAAATTGATTAATCTTGCTGATTTGTTCTTTCAGAGTTTCCAAGCTATACAGATGAAAGGTTCATCTAAAACAAGCAATGTTTTCTCAAAGTGCTTAAAAGCATATGCTCTATCATCCAGATGATGATTTTGTCTGAGGCCTGTCTGTCATTTATATTATTGCCAACAATTACTGGCAATCTTTTATCAATTAAGGATATATTTAATAAAAACTTTTCACTTTTTCATTTTTGTAGATGAAAAAAAAAAAAAAAAAATTTTTCTTAATTGAATTATTCAATGTCATCTTCAGATGAATATTCACCAGTAAAAAAGAAATGTTCATGAGGGCCACAAAAACTATGGAAATTTAAGGGAAAAATTTCAATGGAAGTGCTGCAGGACTAATAGTCAACTAAATTGTATAATTTTTATAAATAATTTGTATTTGCTTATAATAAACTTAAATTAAATTTAATTTAAAGACATAATAAATAATAATAAATTTGTATTATTTTCAGGTTTTGACATTTGATTAAATGCTTTCAACCCACTTTTATGAAGTCAAAAAAACTAAGTAACATACTAATCAATTTACATTTTTAGATAAATTATGAAATAAGTAGTGAAGTAATCGTTCTAAGTAACGTAGTTAATCCAAATAAGTGCTGTGTAATTTGTTGAAAAAATATAAAAGCCTATGACAAAGAAGTGTTAGTTTATTAATTTGTGTTACTGTTCAAAAGTCAGAGCAAATATAAATGGAAATTTACAGATATTTTATAAAGAAACATTAATAGTCTTCTGAAGAAGTACTAATTTGAATTAACAATATTTGTTGCTTCATATAGCATATCTATTTCTTTTGGTTTTCCACTTAAGTTGAAGGTATTATTCTGTCTTAAAACCAAAATACAAGAGAGTACTGAAATGTTCTTGAATTGACCAAAGAAGCCCTTAGAGAAAAAAAACACATTTATGTTTGGTCATTTATTCAGATTTTGTTAAAATGAATTGAGCCAAAACTTTTCAGCATCTCATATAGAATATATTAAAAATTATTGTCATAACTTTAATGATATATTTTTTTACACATTCAATATAAGCAAGGCTAAAAAACAGAAGACAAACCAATCAGTCACACAGGAACTGCTTTATCCTTTTGTCAATGCTGGTAGTGTATATAACTCAATACAAATATTTTGTCAATTTATTTTTATTTTTTTTAATATTTCTAAAATACCTTTTGTTCAAACTTGTTGCAGGAATATTTTAATATGTATCATGAATTTTGCACTCTGATTACAAAGTAATGAAATTATTTCACTTTGCCAGAATGCTTACTTATATGAATTAGATGCATAAAAGTATACAGTAATAAAATGTGTACAAATCATTGTCATAATTTGAATATTTTCATTGAAACATCAAAAATAGTTTAACTGAGATGATAAAATTAAGAATCAATAAAACTTAACTGCTTGAAATTCAATAATAAAATATTTGGTTCATTGAGCATTATTTATGTGTACTATTGTTTTTAAAATTGTTTTCATTGTGTGTGGGGATTGTAAATGTACTTTTACAAGCATCAGAAAAATTTATGAAAAATATTTGAAACAATGCATCTTATAAAACACACACAAAATTTAATTTGCTTAGATAAGAGCTATTTCAACCTCTTGAATCTCAAGAACTTAAAATGGAAATTATTTTAGTTTTAAATTCAAATAAAAATATTTTAGCTTTTTTAATTTATTTCCCTGGAATAAAAAAGCATACATTGCATTAAATTCAAGAAAGAGGCTGAAGTAAAGATACTATTTCTTCAAGCATCCTTTTGTATAATATAGCACCCTTTCTCAAGATAAGTTTATTTTCAAGAGGATATAATAGTCAAATATATTTGAATAAATATTAATTTTAGTTTTTAGATATAAAGGACACAAAGCAGAAGGATTTGTCAAAGAGTCATTTTATTTGGTCCGTGTAAGTTTCTGAAGACTTATTACATTAATATACAATTAAAAGAGAAGAATTCCAAGGCATAAGTAGTTGCCTAACACTTGGCAAAAGTAAGATGGATTTAATAAAACTTAAAAAGCATAAATATGATCTCATACATGTAAAATGTTCAATATTTCATAGAAACAATATTGGAGAAGAATGTAGGAACTAAAAACTGATGTTATGTAATAGTCATGTGAAGGAATAATTCATCTATGAGAAAATTATGAACTGAAAATAACTGATTATAAAAATATATGTATCAGCAATGTAAAAAATTAAGATCAAGATGGTATTTTTATTTAGAGTTTGATTTAGAGGTGGTCATTACACATAACATGGACTCTAACTTTGTGAAATTCTTAGATCACCTCAATCAGAGCTCTTGGTAACAGACTGGTGACATCATAGACTTTGAACATTGTTTATCATATATATACTTTAATAAAAAATAAGATATTCTAAAACAGTACAAATAAGCAGTATGTAAAACAATGCTTA